TCACAAGTGGGTTGTAAGTGTGCAAATGCTAATAAGTTTCTTAAATTGGTTTTTACTGTGCATTTTCTATCATACTTGTTTGACCGGTTCTTCAAGGCTGTAAAACTTTTTATTTTGACATAAAGGGTCAAAAAGAGGTTGGGACTTGAGGATAAGATTTGATGTGATTGGAGAAATACTGTAGACTGACAAAAGAAGTTGAAGGAGACTTTAGATCTGAATATGAGCCTGGAAGTGTTTTTCTCCTGAGAATGTCTTTCTTCTACATTTTTCTGGCTACATATTGTAAACCAAACTCATAACTGAATTCTGAGTCTAAAAGAAACAAAATCTCTATTAATCCTAACCTCTACTTTTCCTATTTTATCAGTATGTACATTCTCGTGTAACAGTGTTCCGTGTACCTTCAGCGTTTAGTCATGCTGGCCGCCTGACCATGGAGACATCTTCGGACAGCACTGGCTCTTCGGCTTTGTAACGGAGATGCGGACTGCCCCCTAGAGCTGGAAATGTCTAGCACGTATGTGCGAGCGGCACCTTTACATTTTCAAAATAAGGTTTCACGGGCAGACTAACCTGAACAATAGCAAAACCATCAAAGCAAGGATAGAACATATAATGTTAAAACAACAACAAACACTATTATGGAAACATTCAAGAATCTGCATGATATCAGATCTTCTGCCACTCTTTGGAAGGAATTGTCAAATTGGGCAATGCAGTTCACAATTGCCAATGTAAATGTGTCTGCAAAATTGATAAAGCCAACTTCACTAAGTTATCTTCACTATCTTAATCTAAGTCCATGTTTTTCATACTTGGGAACTGAAAGATGTCTGGGCTTAAACTCACACAATAGGAATTGGGTGGAAATTCTGGGAATTCATATCCATACGTCTTAGAATTAGAAAAACACTCTTCTAAGCTGTAACAATTATAGGTAGTCCTCATCTTATGACCACAAATGAGCCCAATATTTCTGTTACTAAGTGAGACACTTATTAAGTGAATTTTATGACCTTTCTTGACACAATTGTTAGGTGAATCACTGCAGTTAAGTTAGTAACGCAGTCTTTAAGTGAATCTGGCTTCCCTAATAACTTTGCTTGTCAGAAGGTAGCAATGTCCCCGGGTCACTGCAACAGTCATGAATATGAGTCAGTTGCCAAGTGTCAGAATTTTGATCATGTGACCATGGGGATGCTGCAACAGTTGTAAAATGGTGAAAAACAGTCATAAGGCTTTTTTTTCAAACAACCATTTGTAAATTCAAATGGTCACTAAATGAACTGTTGTAAATTGAGGGCTACCTGTAACTGACTTGTCCAATCTTGAAAAATTAAGTAGGGCTAGATTTGGTTAGTACTTCCGGAAAGATTGCTAGGCAATATCAAGTCTTGATAGACGAGAGTTATTTGTAGCTGAGGAGTGAACTGCAGCCTGTGTTCTATGAGCTTGGTTGTTTTCTTACAGATGTTTCATTACCAAATTAGGTAATATCATCAGTTGTAGTACAGAGTTGGGTTTGCTTTCATTTTATATGCTAATGACTTGCCCTGTCAGTGTTGGTGGTTCCTTTATTAGATAGTTGTTTACTATTAGCTTGTTTGTCTGAATTGGTGGTTCCTTAATTGGGACATTGTGTACTTCTTGATTGCTAATCTAATGTTAATCTTAGTGTTAATTTCAGCCCAGTTAGATGTTGATTGCTAGTGAGGAGGTGTTTTGGTCTGTTTAATTCCTTTTTGGCTTTTATATTGTCTCTTTTGAATGGCATATAGATGTTGTTTATCTCCACGTGCTATTGATGGCCTATATGTCTACTGTGTCAGGCTTCCAGGAATTCTCTGGTGCTTTTGGACTTGGCTTGATCTTGGATGCATACTGTTTCCCAAGTGAAACTATGTTTGAATCTGTCCATGTGTTAAATATAAAGTTTTCAAAATGTCTACTGTTTGCTAGTTGATATTCATGAATGTTCTCTGCTAGTCTTCTCCCTGTTTGTCCTACATAGTGGCTATTTGCAGTTCTTACCCTGTATGTTGTAGATGATCCATGATTTTTGGGAAGGGGTGCTGGTGGGTTTTTTGTTTACTTAGGATGTTTCTGAGGGCTTTATTCATTTGTGTTCTATGCTGATAATAGTTTGTAGATTGACATAGTCTGTTGGTGTTTTCTGAGATGTTTTTGACGGATGGCAGTGATATCCTTTTCAGAGTTTATATTGGTTGTGCTATATTGGATTGAGTGGTCAGGTACTTTGTGATAAAGTTGTATGGAAATCCATTTTGTTGGAAGATGTTGTTTCTTTCCTGTTTCGTATTTCTGATGTTCAGGGTTGTTGCAATGTGTTTGTATTTGTTTAGTGTTCTTGCATAGCTTCCCATATGGGAAGTTGGGTTGTTACTTTGGTAGAAGAGCACTTGGTTGGTGTCAGTAATTTTACAATAGACTTGAGTTTCTAATTTGCCATCATTACCTCCGTTGTTGATGATATCCAGGAACAGTAGTGTGTTGTTGGTTTCTTCTCCCTTGTGAATTTTATTGTTCTATTTTAATATGAAACCATGCCTGAGTTATCTTTCCAAAATAGAACAGAATAGAATTCTTTATTGGCCAAGTGTGATTGGACACAAGGAAATTGTCTCGGTGCAAAGTGTACATAAAAGAAAAGATACATACATAAACTCAGTGTAATTACTGTTGATTCTTTTGAAGGTTTATTTATTGGTTTCCTGGGGGATTTCAACGATTTGCTCTTTGATTTAATTTTTGTGATATACTTTTAGTGTTGTAATGTGCTTAAATGTGTAAGTAAATGATTAACTTTCAAAATAGTTTCCACAAGCATTATGAAGTTTCCATTATTTCCCAATACAGACCCATCAATTAAATATTTGCCATTTTCATGTGAAAATTAAAACTTGCTGCCTTTTGAAATATTTATTGTACCTTTGGAAGGTATCCAAACTTGGTAATATGTACATTACTACAATGCTAGAAATTGTGCAGGAATTACTGGATTTTTTATCGTGCAATTACTATAGAACTTGGGACAATTTCAATGAACCTCTTTGTCTGTTCATATCTGATTGCATTGAGATTCTTGCCAAATTAATGACTTGGCATAGAAGGTTGTCCTTTAATTCACCCAAGTCACAATTACATTAGCCCGCTTAGAGAGGGCTGTAAAGCACTATAAAGCAGTATATAAGTCTACATGCAATGAACAAAAGTTTCAGTGAGGAAATTATTAACAGATCAGCTATTGATAGACATAAATTAATGCCAGAGTGGGTTTTTGTTTGTTTGTTAGCCCTTTAATTTGCTTAACACAATCCTAATTTCTTAAAACAGACAAGAAATTCAGTTTCTGCAGACCTGTCAGTCTAGGGACAAAAGTCATTTTATAGCCCTAAAGTCAGATATGTAAAATAATTTGGCCATGTGGGTTCATGTATTCAAGACTAAGTTAATTTGGAGAAAAGCAGAACAATAAAGGAGAATGTAAACTCAAACATTTATTATTTTGAGTGATTATCATCTGAACTATCCTTTTTAAGGGCTGCTTTAACTTTTGAGGAACATATTGAAGACCTTACCATAAGAGGGGAGAGGGTAAAGAAAATTTAAAAATAGATAAAACAACGAAATTTAAATAATTGAAAAAGAACATGACTTAATTTAATTATTTAAATTGCAAGTGTATTGTATATTGGAAGTCATACACTTAGGAGATCATTTATGTAGTTTCCCAAGTTTAAAACAATAAACAAATCACTAACAAAACATATATCCCATTCTGTTCCATAAGCTATACCTACAGAGAGAACCTCTCATACAGAAGTGATGACAAGATGAGGAAAGAACAACAGCAGTGTGAGGTTTATGATTGATTGTCAAGAGAATTTGGAAGGGTATCAAGAGCCATCTTGGCCTCTCCCACCCCATCCCAGGGACGGATGAATCTATCCCATATATTGTGCATGTAACATAAGGCCAACACTGAACATCAATGAGGTAGCAGTGGGATGAATTAATACCGTGTTTCCCTCAAAATAAATCCAATCGGAAAATAAACCCCAGCATGATGCTTCAGGATGCTCATAATATACGCCCTATCCCCAAAATAAGCCCCAGTTAAGATGATCAGCCAGACAGACACATTTAATATCATATTTCCCCCAAAATAAGACCTAACTGGAAAATAAGCCCTAATATGTCTTTTGGAGCAAAAATTAATATAAGACACAGTTTTATTTTGGGGGAAACATGGTAGCTAGTTGCTCATTCCTCCTGAAGCCTGAAACCTGGAGGAGAAAGGCAAGTGGACACAATTCTCTCCGCCAGGTGCTCCAGGAGGAACAATTCTAATGAAATCTGACAGTGAGGAGAGGAATGACATACATCTGAAATGAAAAAAAATGATGCCTCAGGAATGAAGTATCTAAAAAGTCTCAATTTCATAGTTTCTTAAGTACCCACATTTCAATTGCCTTGCCCCCATGTGCATTTCAACAGACTATTGGTATAACTGAAAGAAAAATTAGTGAATGGGCATAGTTGGATTATGAGATCAGCATAAGGTAACAGAAGCCCTTCTGCAGATATCAACCTGAAATGGTACCTTCACTGACCACTTGGCTTGGTCTCTGCAAAGACTTTTCCACATGCTTCATGATCCCCAAACCCTTCATGATCTTAGGAAGGAGCAACAACGGGAGGCATACTGGAATGTACATGATGCAGGTGTGAACCTCAATCCAATCAGGCACCCTTAGGTATGTCCATGGACTGCATAAAGCAACCGTTTTTTTCTGAGGACAGAATATAATTTTTAAATTATGACTTACATTTTTTGACAAGCTGCTAATAATCAGAAATATAAGGCCCTAATTTTTCTTGTAGCAAAGAAACAAGAGTACAAGTTCATTGCACTATTTTCTTTGTATCTTTTATTATCTTTTTAAAACATTCATATTATATTCTTCCACTAATCATAGTCCTCAGGAGCACAACCTTCCTATTTAACCGTATCATTCTCCATGGCTTATTCACAAAACAAACCAGCTTCAGTGTCTCATTTAATTTCATTGCAACTTCTTGTTCTTGCCAAGTATAGGTTTCTCTTTCCTCGGTATCCAGAATTTGATTTTTATGCCCAGCTGATGCCCAGTGGAAAACATTTCTGGCCAATGCCTTTTTCAAACCTTTCCCATCCTGCTCTTTGGGCTCATTTTTGCTGGCGGGGAGGACGATAGCCAGATGTTCTGTGCTCCTTCCAATCATACTCATCGTGGCTTTCCCTAAAACCAAAACAGGAAATTTAGCCAATGTTAAGCAAAAGTTACCTATGCCAATCAGGAGAGCCGAGCACTATAAGCAACCAACCAACTTTTGACATATGAGATAGACATATGAAGGTATTTTCCGGCAACTTCCCTTTTCAACTACACCTCTTCTTTTCCTCACAGTGCTTACCTGGGAGATTCTCCATCTCTTGGGAAAACCATTTTAGTGCTACAGGAGACTTGTCATGCCCGAATAGTCTTTATATACTGTTGTCGCTCTCTACCCCCATCTAGTGGCCTGATGGACAAATATACCCTAACATATGACCTTTATATATTGTTGTTGCTCTCTAGCCCCATCTCGTGGCCAGAGGAACAAATGCCAAGTATATTGTTTGAAGCTGAACCCATCCCATTACCCAGCAGCCTGAACTTTCAAAGCAAATGCATGCTGGGAAGTCAGACTCCATTTCCTTTAGCATTTGGAGAAGGCAGAAACACAAAGAAAAATCCATCTTAATCTGTAGCACATGGTCATCCAAGGACAACTCACATCCCACACACAAGAGCATCACTGGTGAGATTTAGATTGCTTGCATTTATTAATTGTTGTGTTCAGCAGGAACTCAATATTGCCTATCTTGTACTTCGCTCTCATTTTATGTATCCCTATTTTCCCCAGTTTCACCATATCCTGTTCTTTTAACAAAGCATTCAGATCTATGCACACGGTCTGTTTTATTGGAGGTTAGGTGGTTTTAGCTGCATGTCAAGCTGCACAGAGACTAAGGTGTAGTGAGGACAGAACAAGGCTGCTATCCAAAAGGGAATTCCTCATAAGATCCAAGACCTAGGGTCTATAGCTTTAATACTATATATTCTACCAATTATGCTGATTCATTTATGGTGTCTTCAGTTCAAAAGGTTTGCTTCAGACTTTCTGTTTCCTAAAGAAATAGTAAGGGAAGTTGCGTCTTACCTAATGACATTTTGTCTTTTACCTGAAGCAGCGCTGACAATAGAGGTCATCATCACAGCTGTGGCAGCGCACACTGGCATCTTCATTGCAGATACAGCACCAGGGTAATTCTTCTTCATCGCTGTTCGATGTTCTGGCAGGCCAGATTAGATGTTTAGCAACAACTGGAGCTTGTGCCTAGTGGAGGAGATGCAAACATGCAACCACATTATGAAAAATCCATAGTAAGAGTTCCAATGCAGTTGTAGGATTACTAAAATACCTATAATAATTCTTTGAATGACTGAAATGTACCTGTTTTTAATGCCTGAAAATTCAAGAATGTATTCCCATTCAGTTTCCCTTGTTTATGTGAACATCACCTCCACTGTCCAAACCTGGCAGGTTGCTACCAATTTTGCAAAGAAACTGGCCAGCCCTGTGCAAAATTATGGGTAAGTATTAAGTTTGGGGCAAACTGACCCCGGAGAAACCATTTGTCTTTTAGTTTCAGGATAAGATCCACAGGTATTTGCTTTTTGGCCTGGCAACTGGGAGCAGTTGATAAATCCTAAGGGAACACAGTTTGAGGGATCTGGCTTTTGTTGGGCCTTAGCTGCAGCCCTGAAGATACAAGCTTCACAATGCTGTGCATGCATGTATCCAGGGGTGTTGCTCACCTTGGTTTTCTTAGTGGAATTCGACAGCACAGTTGCAGACTGATTTGGGGAAATATTGAAGCCGCTTGCTTCATCCAAAGCTGCTTCTTCAGTAAGCTGGTAACAAAAAATAAAATAAAATATACAATAAACTTATTTATTAAATATATTTGCTGTTCGTCTCTCTTTCAAGCAACAAGTACCCTCACAGGCTACTTTCTTCTACTCTCTTAATTTTCAGTTTAGCAAGCATCCATCTAAATAAGCATTTCAAATTTCCAACCCTTTACTCATCTACAAAACTTACAAAGCCACATTTTGTCTTCTGAACCCACTCAGAAGGTTAAAAAGTTTAATACACGGGGAAAACCAGGCTTGGGTGTGAAGTAAAAGGTATCAATCAGATTAACTCTGCATAAGTAACATCAGCTGCAAGAGACCTGTTTCAAAACTCTCTGGATGGCTTCCTCCTCTTCTTCATCACTATTGGGGAGTTTGTAATCATCCAAAGTAACTGTTGAAGAAAGAAAAAGAAAACTGAACACGTAATAACAATTTCATAAAGGGAGCTTTTCATCATTTCAAGTTACTGCAAATAACCACAGATCATGCTGTACAACATACAGTCTTGCTGTCAACTTCAAAAGGACTACAGCCGAGGCCATATTTATTTTTGCTTCGTTTCTTAGTTGCCACTCTTTCGGAGGAAGGTGGGGGAGTTAGAAGGAACTGGAATGCAGTGCCTGAGTCCACTGGACAAAACATCCACCAGATCAGTGGTGGGATTCAATTTTTTTTTACTACTGGTTTTGTGGGTGTGTCTTGGTGGGCGTGGCAGGGGAAGGATGCTGTAAAATCTCCAGTCAGAGGTGGTATTTGCCAGTTCTCCAAACTGCTCAAAATTTCCGCTACCGCAACTGCTCAGAACCGGCTGAATACCACCTCTGGTTCAGGTATCTATCTAAAAACCCAGAAAACCCTAAAGTAGAGATCCATGGTTTTTAAAATGTAACTATGACGTGAGGATGGCAGGAATTAAGCCCTCTTTGAGGCAATAGTGTATATTTATTAGTCTAATTAAACATTTAAAAATACTTGTACATGGCAGTGAACATCTGCTGAGACTGAGGGGGAAGATCCTGGTGACCCAAGACACCTGAGGGGGGTGGGAAGTTTCTATTCTTTTTATTACTCTGAAGGGTGGGAATTACCCAGAGTTAGCTTCAACTTTCTAAGTGCCGATAGGATGTCTCAATAAAAGGTCTTCCAAGCCTGAATGGAGCTTCTGAGTCCTGATTCAATTGGGTTCATTGCTGGGAACCATGACATTTGCCTTCCTTAAGTTCTCCCATACAGTGGAATTAATCTGACCATTAATCTTTCAAGTCCTTACAAAGCAGAAGAGAGGATAAGTGACAATCCAACTTCTATCACTTTTGATATGGAAGGTCCTGAAAGATGGCCAAGTAATCTCCACCAATACTTTGAAATGCATATTCTTTGGTCTCAAGGCAGCCAGTAGGCCATCCTCCACATCTTTGTTCTCCTTGGTCCTTTTCTCAAAGACATTCGTTTCTCTTCTCAGTAACAAAGATCTGTTCGGATTCATCCTCAAATGTGTTAAGTTCTCTTTCTGGGAGAATTCAGAGCTGTTCATCACTTCTGACACCACTTTCTCAATGCCAGCGTGAGCATCATTTCTAAGCATCAGAAGTTTGTCCTTTTCCATTGCCAGGGCTAATCTAACCTATTAATGCTGGCAGCTCACTGTACATATGCCATTCCCAGCAGTTTACCGGCAATATCACAATTCATTTTAGCTCTGTATTAATAATAAAAAAAACCCATTATATACTGATTTCTACATATTAAGTTTCTACTAAAAGAAAAGGGCCAGCTTCAGTTTTCTTTCGTTCCTTGGCTTCGTGAGAGGCATGAGTATGTTAGTGTGCTGCTGATATGCCATGAGCAATACTAGGGGATAATACTGAAGTGAGGCTATTTTAAAAGAAAGTATACTTGAGATATAAAAATGGATAAACTTTAAAGTGGAGAAGGCCTCTACAAAACCTCCTGTGGAGGATTAACCCACGGTCAGAACCTCCCATCTGGAAGCCCTAGGGACTCATCCTACAGACAACAGCAGCAGTGAACCAATCAGTTGTGCCACAATTATCACCATGCCCCAGACTGATACTACATCAAGATGACTGCAAAAATCATAACCCAAATCTAGAAGAGCAAAAACAAAAGAACCCAGCAGCCCATCAGCTGCTCAGCGGTGTCATATGCTGGTGCCAGGCTTGGAGAAACCCCATGAATGTACCCTGTTTGTCTAGCCTGTTGGAACAAAGAGAGCTTTGGTTTCACAGCTTTGCTTATGAAACAAACAAAGTATTTCCGTTCACATTTCTTCCCAGCTCTCAATCCCCATTAATTACCTGCTTTTAAATGAATCAAAATCCTAGCACCGGGAAATGGAAGTTCTTCTGAGAATTATGACTTGGACTTTTTCCTATTAGTCAACCAAGATTCGTTGTCAAATAAACTAAAGTTTTCCTGAGATGGCCTGAATACTTTTTGTTACATACTGTACCTGTCTCGGGATCTTTGCCTTTCAAAACTGCCAATCGCTTGGCCACTTCCAAAATCTTTTCCTCCCTGGTGTTTTCTTCCCTGAGTTCAGCCGCCGCCTGTGCCAATAGTTTCGTTTTCTCCTCCTCCAACTGCCTGAGAGACAGATCGGAAATGCCTGCAGTGGCATCTGTTTGATTCAAATCATTCCAGTTCTGTGTCCTCACTTCTGAAACAGCAAAAACCTAGAGTGAATTCACAGCTGCACCACAATCACTCAGCCATTAGAATAATCTGCCAAAAATAAAACAGGTCCCAGTCGAAACACTCTTAATTATGCCACAGTGTCTGGAGTCAGTTTATTCATTCAGTTGCTGGTTGTCCTATAATAAAGAAGTTTGAATAGAAGATTTTAAAAGATGTGAGATAATTCAAAGGTTTGTTGCTGGTTCACAAGTCTCTTCTGTCTTTCCCATGCAAATTTGAGTAGTGTTTTTTTGATCTTCAATCAGCCTCTGATCTAAGAGGTTTCCTCCAGTCAGCACCCAACACTCAAAAAGGCTGTGTCAAACAAGGCAGGAAACAAGAATCCCTAGAGCCTATAGCAGGGGTCCCCAAACTTGGCAACTTTAAGACTTGTGGACTTCAACTCCCAGAATTCTGGAAGTTGAAGTCCACAAGTCTTAAAGTTGCCAAGTTTGGAGACTGTTGAGGTATTCCCCATTAGGAGAATGAGTGCACTCAGGGAAATGTAGTGAGAGTGGTGTTGAATAACACACAACCAGCACACAGATACACTGAATAGTAAAATGTAGGTTTTACTTCCAGTAAACGGGTAAACAAAGTCGAACAAACAGTCCAAATCATACATGGTTAAAGCAGTTAGTATTCAATACAATCAGTCCAGGGATAATCCAAAAACGAAGTCCAGTATCATAAACAAAGTTCAGTTAATGGAGTTTGTTAACAGTTGCAAGACTCACAGCAATTCCAGCAGAATGATGATCAGGCAAAAGGCAAGAGAGAAACGCAAGAGAGAACAAACCAGGCTTTTGGCTCCATCTTATGGCTGTTGGAGGAACCTCAGCCAATCACAATTACAGCATTCTCTTAAAGATACAACAGTATTATATGACTATCCTGGTTTATATATTGCCAACCCAGCTGTTAGGTGACTATCATTCCTAACAGAGACCTCTGGCCTACAGAAAGATTTTGTCTTGATTGGGGAATAAGAGTATTAATATGATACCTCTTTTCAAATATCTGACAGGGTGTCACACACTGAAGAAAGTAATAATCTACTCACTACCTTTCCTGAAGGCAAGCACCAAATAATAACCATGTTAGGGAAATGCAGATTTCAGATGAACCAAAAGTTTTTGACCGTGAAGTGCTCTTTGATAATGGAGCACAAGATGGTACATTATTTTCTTGCTGGATCTCTTAAAGCAGAGACTGAATAGACAATTATTTGATTCATCCATTAATAAATAATGACATTATCTCAATACAATTGGAAGACAAATAGAAACTACAGGATTTTAGTGGCAATTCTTCACCAAAATTGAACTGGGTGCTAAGAGGAGGGTTTGGAAGCAACGCAAGGTCTCTGGAACGGGCATCCTTGCAGCCCCTTGATCAAGAACAGTAGATAACAGATAACAGATAATCAGAATTGGAAGGGATCTTGTAAGTCATCTAGTCCAACCCCCCCCCAAACGGGAGACCCTATACCACTTCTAATAAATGGCAATCCAATCTCTTCTTGAAAGTCTCAAGTTATGACGCCCCCACAACTTCCGAGGGAAAAGTGTTCCACTGGTTGATTGTTTTCACTGTCAAAAAGTTTCTCCTTATTTCCAGGTTAAATCTCTCCTTGTTCAGTTTCCATCCATTATTCCTTTGTCTGGCCTGCAGGCGCTTTAGAAAATAGCTTGACCCCTTCCTCTCTGTGGCAGCCTCTCAAATATTGGAAGACTGCTATCATGTCTCCCCACATTGCTATCATGTAGTGGGGGCTCACTTTGCTGCATGAGATTTCAGGACCTACTTGCTTCCATTTCGACGTCAAAACTAAGAATGCATATTAAAGCTAAAGAGAAACCTTGAGATGTAATTGTGAAGCCTCCACTCTCATCAATGGCAACTTCTTCAGCCATCTGGTTCAGCAAGTCATCTGACTGCTCCACTTGAGTCTTGCTGCTGGAGACCTGGTGTACCTGACCAAAACAAGAGAGGTACAGGTAATTAAATTTAATTCAGCTAAATTAAATACAGTTAAAATAATGACTGCCTGTATATTAATGATTTTCCTTTCTGTCCCATTTAAACATTGCAATCTGGGGGCAAATCAGAAGAGGCAGGTAATGTTCAACAATTTTCTCTAGCTGGAAAAACTCTGGGAAAGGTCTGTTTTTAAGCAATGGTAGCTTACGGGTCTGGGGGCTGCAGATGGAAGTGTTCTGCCTTGCAAGGCTGCCAAACGGTCTTCCATCTCTTGGGTTGTCGGAATGGCTCTTCCAGAGTCTGCTTTCAGTGCCGCCAGCCTAGATTCTATCTCCGCCTGGGATGGAATAGACTCTGTGCAATTTAAAAGCAGATTTATTTGCTAATAGTGACCAAAAGAAGCATAAAACTATTTCCATACATATAAACCAATGGCAAAATGGCACATTTTCAAATGCAGAAACTGGTAGTGTTGATTCGGGGTTATGGAACTGTCAGTATTGGCCTCACCATGCACCCATCGAAAATCATCTCTGTTAAATAGCAAATTGCTCAGAAAAGGGCATCTAATCTTTTCCTTGTGAGCAGAAAAACTAATGCATTGTTCTCTTCCACTCCCCCTGCACTGATGATGTTACTCAGCCCGGTAATAAAAGATCTGCAGAACGAAATGTAAACTTAGAGAATAGCAACGACCCAGCATTAAGCACTTGTAAGACAGAGCTTGGGGAGGGGAGTGGGGGGGAAGGAAGAGAATATATGTATCTATTTTAACATGCTCCATGTTAATCTGCTATGGAAACAAAAATCGAGGCATTTAGTGCTCATGTTGCCTTCTTTTAGAAACTGTTTCAATAGTGTTGCATGTATAAACGGAACATTAAGAATTCTGTTCTTGAATTCTGATTTGTTTTCTATTTTCAGCAGACCCGAGCATGAAAATATGAGCAACTCACTAGGCCTTGCTGCCTTCTTGAGTCTCTCCAGTCTCTCTGCTAGAATCTTATCCTCTTTTGATAACCCTCGATATCTGGAGTCTGTCTGACTCTGAGATTTCACCAAGCCCTTCTGAGGACTCTGCGTCTGGTTCTGCTTAGCTTCAAGAGCTGCAATCCGCCTGCAAAAATAAGTCCTGTGTGAATTAACAGGATTATCATAAATGCTTCTCTAAGACTTGATTCGCATACACACAGTTTAATCACTGAGGCACCAAGTGACAATGTGAGCCTTGCAAGACATAGAAACAGAGAGATGTTTGCCAAATTCATTCACATGTTTCACTGAAATAAAACAGCACTGATTCATCAAGTAACCTACAAGCACAAGTGAATGGATCAGTCCTTACAGATAGCAATAGCAATTGCACTTAAAATTATATACCGCTCCATAATGCTTTACAGAATTCTTTAAGCATTTACAATGTCAGGCAACAATCTGGGTCCTCATTTTACTGACCTTGGAAGGATGGAAGGCTGAGTCAACCTTGAGCTGGTCAGGATCAAACTCCTGACTGTGGGCTGGAGTTAGCCTGCAATACTGCACTCTAACCACTGCACCACCATATCACCACAGAAGTTCAGAGGAAGATTATATCAGGATTGGCAAACACTTTTGATACCCTCATTATCCTGGATGTATAGATTGGCCAGAGTTTAAAATTTGACTCTTACGCTGAAATCTCTTAGTTATTGAACTCTATTCCATTGCCATTAGAAACCAATGGGTTTAACCTTGTTTAGGGCAGAAGCAGTTGCTTGTTTATAAAGGTACTGTTTCCTGTTTTACTATTATTTTAGAAGGAGAGTAGGAGGGAATAAATACACGAGAATTGCATTTACAAAGGCAGACAGGCAAAAGACAGGGGGTCAAATGACTTCAGTTAAGCATTCCTAACAGATTCATTCTAGGTGACATCACAAATAATGATTTTAATGCACAATTTTTCATTATCACAATATTAAACTGTCATGTACATCCTAGATATATATACTCCTCAGTGTATGCATATTATTCTTAGTTTTTCATATTATTGGCAATTTTTTTTATCTCTGGTGCTTGCTTCCTGATCAGGGGTTCTTGGATTTTTTTTTAATTAACAAGATCTATAGTGAGAAAATTGTTGAAAAGTCCTGCTCTAGTTATTTTGAGAAAGAAATTATATTTTTGGGATTATTAATATAAAGAATTGAAATCCTACAACAAGTAAAGGAATTTTAAAAATGGCTAAAGCCATTGGTGATTCATCATAACACATACATACACTTTGCTTTATAAATATATAAAGATCATGAAGGAAAACTAGTTTTGTGATTATTGGAACTCACTTCTTATAGTTCTCTGGTGGAGACCATCTAGCTGAATTTGACTGAGATGGTGGACTGAAAAGAAAAATAAGAATGTCACAAAATAGAGACTCAAACTGCTACACTATAAAACGAATAAATTGATTTGGGACTAATTATCAATGTTTTATTTGGCTGAATCTATCTCTCTAACATTTGGAAGTCAGAATATATGCAAAATAAATATACTTATAATCAGTTTCATAGTGCATTAGTATTGTATGTAGCACAACCCTGTCTACAATCCTTATGTGACACTTTTAAGTGTCGTGAGAGAAAGAAACTCTGGGCCAATAAGATCAGAACTTAATAGTAATAGCACTTAGACTTACATACCGCTTCACAGTGCTTTTACAGCCCTCTCTAAATGGTTTACAAAGTCAGCATATTGCCCCCAACAATCTGGGTCCTTAATGCCAGAATTCATCTCCCAGAAAAATCTTTTAGCATTGTAGAATAATGAATATGGTGGTACATTTCCTAAATAATTATGTGGATTTCAGCTAATACACAAAATGCTAAAATGGCAACTCTGTTGATTGAGCTCTGCAATTTTACCGTGTTTCTCCAACAATATGCCCCCCCCCATAGAAAGACCCAGCATGTTTTCTAGGCATAAAATGAAATTAAGCCCGTCCTCCCAAATTTAGGCCTAGTTTAAAAAATGCAAAATTGGGGGTGGAGGCAGGGGGAACTTGCCATTAGGAGTGTCCCGCGGGTAGCTATGCCTCACCATCAGCTGCTCCTAACACCATGTTGGAGCACGGAGGGCTCCCTTACCCGGATCAGCAGGCGGGCGGCGTCGGCGTGGATGTCCAGCAGCATTTCAGCCGCTTCTCAGGCCTCTGTAGCTTTCATGGTTCGGACTGGTGCTGGTGCCTCTCTTGCCAGCACCGTCTCCAACAACAGCATCTGAGTCGTTCCAGCTTTTCCCCCGTCCCCGTAACAACAGGAAAAAAAAACATTTTGAGGTACCTGGGAGTGCCACGCGCTGAATTTTGGTTTAATCCCGAGTGGCTGGGTGGGCGTGAGAAGAGCCAAGCAAGCGTCTCTGCTGCTGCTACCCTTGGTGCTCCAGCCTCGGGCTCTGCAAGTTTGCAAAAGTCCCGGTGCGCAGCCCGTTCCTGCATTCCAAGCGCCCAGGCCGAGCTGCAGCTGTCCCTCTCTCGCCAGCGCCGTCTCCAGTAACAGCGGCAGCAGCGGCGGGGACCATGGAAGCGTTTCAGCCACTTCTCGGGTGGGGGAGCCGCCTCCGTAACTTCCACGGTTCCCGCCGCTGCTGCCGCTGTTATTGGAGATGGCGCTGGTGAGAGAGGGACAGCTGCAGCTCAGCCTGGGCGCTTGGAATGCAGGAATGGGCTGCGCACCGGGACTTTTGCAAACTTGCAGAGCCCGAGGCGGGAGCACCAAGGGTAGCAGCAGCGGAGACGCTTGCTCGGCTCTTCTCACGCCCACGCAGCCGCTCGGGATTAAACCAAAATGCAGCACGAAGTGCTCCCAGGTACCTCAAAATGTTTTTTTTCCTGTTGTTACAGGGACGGGGGTAAAGCGGGATCAACTCAGACGCTGTTGTTGGAGATGGCGCTGGTGTGCGGGGGGGGAGAATTAATTCACTCCCGAAAAGACTTCCTAGCCGTTTTTGGGGGGGCTCAAAAAAAAAAAAAAAAAGGCCCGGCCTTATTTTGTGAGAAACACGGTATCAATCCATCACTTGGATCAGAATTCAGTTCTGTTCTTACCTTGTTAACTCTCCATAACACTGCTTGCAAACCTTCTGCTGAGTATCCCCACAACGAGGAACAGTGGCACTGAATCCAAGGCAGCTTGAGCAAAATCCTCGACCACAACTCTTGCAACCATACTGAGAGGGGGGAAAAAAATCAATGGAGGAAAACACACTTAGCTGACAACTGCAGGACAGCTGGAAGATTCCTTCTTCTATAAGATTCATAAGGGAGATAGTTCCATACTGTGGTGGTTACTGAGGCTGGGTCTAGCTTGGTTATCTGGGGAGATTTTGATCCTATTTTATCCTGAGAAAGTTACATCACTCCTGGCTGCTTAAAATCTCCTGGGGAAGAAAGTGTGGGTCTTTGTGCCTAAGCCAGGGGGCCTGGGCAAGGGTTAGAGCTCATTTGCTGGTTGTGTGGGGTGATTGGTTAGATTATGCCCAACTGCTTATGTTGTACTCTTATTTTTTACATTGCGTATTTTACACATTTTATTTTGATTTATTGTAAACTGCCTAGACCATGTAAAAGTGAGATGGACACGTATAATAAACAAACAAATAAGCAAGCCAGCCAGCTTGAAATTGAATCCTCTTGTTATAGAAAGCCAATATGAAAACAAGGTTTTTATCTCTAGGCTCCTTCAAAACACACGTATGACATACAAGAACACAGAATATAACACCTGTATACTATATCATTTATTCTATCCATATCCTACTATTTTTTTAAAACAAATAATGGCAAGAAATATTGAAATAGCAATGCAAACAATAAACAAAGAGTAGGGAAAACAAGAGTTTAGGTGCCATAGCATATACTATAGTGATCATTAATTAATCAAAATTCCCCAAGACTTAAGTTGGTGTCATATGCTATTTTTTAAATTATTTCCCCCCACCATTGGTGATTTCCTCCCATCCAGTTTTAAGATTGATAAAACATCATCAGTGATGCACTGGCAGATAAAACATCTATATCTACTGGATAACTTCTTAAAAGCAGTAATGTGCTTTCAAACACTTCTCAAAATCTAAGTTATTTTCATCCATGTAACATAAAAAAATGACATGGAATCATGCATCAGCATCACACATTTTCCACCTTTTAGCATTAATGTATGAGTTTATCATTATATGTCACGTAACCTGTTTAATTCATTTTATGTGAATTCTCCACTCACTATGCATCAAAATAGATCATTCTTCAAAGTGAAACAGAACCATCTTCTGGGACCTTTTAAGAAAAAATCCCTTATGGGTTATTTAATTATAGAAAAACAAAACAATCAAACAACTGAAACTGAAAGGGAGAGACTTGCTTAGCATCCATCATTTATATATTTATTCAAATTTGTTATAGCTGCACAACTCCAACAGACTCTGGGTATTATACAGGACCAAAAATAATCAATACAAACAAATAAAATGTACACTATTAAAGTAATAGATATATTAAAAGATCTAAAACTGATTACAGGAATCAAAAGAAGCATGAATCTAAAACATGAAATCTGAATGAATTCTACTGGAAGAGAATTTCACATTTTACTGTATGAGATCGCATTTCTCTCAACACAGATTTATCAAGTTCAGTTTTTGTAAGTGCTGACACTGAGTAGTGAAGAAAAACTTGCCTGTTTCTTGAAGACAGTAAACTTTGATGCACAGCCATAACACCTTTTATCCATGATGTCAGCTGAGTTGGTTCTTAGAGTTTTCACAAAAAATACTAGTGAGGACAACGTGATTCTATTTTGTCTGCAAGCAGCTATCCCATGGTTTGCTTTTCAGGGGTAGAACAAAGAATTAGAGTGAAGTATAAAATGCTGATAATGATTCAATGAAAACATGATCTACTAAAGAGGTGACAGTGGTACTTGACTTTGCTTTCATAATAATAAAAAACTATACATTTGGTTACCTAATAACAATTAAAATCATAGAGAAAGAAACAAAAATTCAAAGATTAAGCTTTCCCAACCCAGTATCTTTCAAATGTGTTAATCCCAAATTCCCTAACTGTTAACTAGAACAATTCTTGTAATTCATTTTATCTTTACAATATTCAGAAGCAGACCCACAGAAGATCAACATACAATAGTTTCTTCCAAAAAGTAGGTTCTATTCACAACAGAATAAAACAGCGCAAAACTTTATTGAATGGGGAAAAATTTATGACAGTTATATTAATTATTTTGAAAAGATACCAGTTTACTTTTGGATATTTTTTCTCTCCCTTCCTTTCTTCATTGACTGCCATGGTGAATTAGGGAAATAAATCAGCATACTCCCCTATAAACACTTTTTCAAACCTGTCATCCCTTAAAGATGCAAACCAAACCCCCACCGTGTCCAGCTAGGTATGGAAAACTACAATCCCATTGGGAATTATCCGAGTTGTAGTACAACACATCAGGAGGGCATTGGATTGGGAAAGGTTACCCCAAGATGCTTACGAAAAAAGGAAAAGGTTAAGGAAACTTTATGAAAGGAAGGTTAGTCTATCTTGATAATCTGATATTCTAGTCTAATCCAGCAGGCCTTTTCTGCCTTTTTCAAAGTCTGACTACTGCTCCTTTTACCGCAAGCGACGACCAGGTGTATATACTTACAGCCCTTCTACGACCCTGATGTATAACTGGTACAGTACTGTTCTGTAACTACCTTTCCAAGAGACTCTTCCCCGCCCACTATCCCTGACGCAGCGCTTGCTGGCGTTTCGGCGATTTGTCCAATCACGGCTCCGGAAAGTTGTAATAGAACCACGATGACGAGGGCCGATCTGGCATGCTGGGAACTGTAGTTCGCTCGACTTCCATCTTCCGTCCGGAGAAGAGAGGTTCCTAAAGAGAAGAGTCCACGTTTCCCAGAAGCCAAATCGCTGTCGGGAGAACGAAGGAGTGGGGGGAAGGGAGGAAAAAAAAAAAAAAGCTCGAGCGAGAATCATCCCGGTGGGGAATTGGCTGAAGAAGCGAGTCTTGAGGGAAATGGCGGTCGATAAAGAACTGCTGGAGTTGGACCTCTACGCGCTTTTGGGCGTGGTCGAGAAAGCGACGGATAAAGAGGTTAGGGAGGCCTGAGCTGGGGAAAAGGAAACCGTACTTCTCAAGCCCGTTTGATAGACGTTAGAGGCGGTCCGAGTTTCGTTCCCAAGCCATGCATAAAACCAGGCGTATTAATCTCTCTCTCTCTCTCTCTCGAGGTCCCGCTGATAAGTGAGCTCCGGGGCCCGGTGTCTGAGGTTGGGGCCCTCCCGATGTATTGGATTCCAAGTCCCATCGTTCTCAATTGTGATGGGGGTCGCGGTCCAATGCATGTGGAAACGGTCCACGGGATGAAAAGCGGCCCTGAGTGGGCTTTACTACAGGAGTAAATGGGGCTATTCTGCAAACTTGTTTAAAACGTGCCGGAACTCGTGGCCTGTCCATTAACCAGGGATTGTTCGTTGGTTATTAGTTTCGCCGTTTGCTGGTGGTTTTCCTGTCTTCGCTAAATGGAGATTCTCAGTCATCCAGGCCATGGTTGTCCCAAAGGTGCTTTTCCAAGAGGCAACTGGACTTTCTGGTTTTTATTTTTCTTTGAAGACGTTTCGCTTCTCATCCAAGAAGCTCCGACTGGATATAAAACTTTCCCCGCCATCCAGTCAGAAGCTGAAGAAGCTTCTTGGATGAGAAGTGAAATGCTTTACAAGAAAAAAAAAAGAAAGTCCACTTGCCTCTTGAAAAAGCACCTTTGGGTTTTCCTGTCTTCCTGGGCCAATATTTGGTTGTGCCTTAGAAGGCTTGAAGAACAAGAGCCAGGACAAGCTTTGTGGAGAAGGTGTTAGCGGTTGGTGGGCGTATGGGGACAGGGCTAAATCCAATATTTACTTGGTCAAAACTGCAGGGTGATGGCTTCGTGTTCCTATGATGCCCTGCACTTGAGATTATGATGCCCTGCGCTTGAAATAAGTATTCCTGCAAAGCTGTGGTCGATCCAGATTTCAGTGGAAAACATTTATTTAGCAAATTTATATACCCCTCCCCACCTCATTGAACATGGCTCTGGGGGGCATACAGCCCTCACTGACAATTAGAACAATAGAACAGTGATTAAAACAATTGAACACATTTTTTTTAAAAAAAGATTAAAACTAAGCAGAATAACAACAGTCACTAAACAAAGTACAGTCACCTCACTGGGCTCCCTGTGGGATCCCTAAAGGTATAGGAGAAAACTCCCATTTTAAGAAAAGTTGGGTGGCATCAGATCAAAAATCTCTGTGGTCCAACATCCTGTTACCACAATGATTGATGATGGCGATAAAAAGACTGTAGGAAATTTAACCTTGTGTCCTGTAGAAATTGTGCCTTGCGGTATGTTTCTTGACGTACTTATAAAACTGGCAAATTAATGTAAATTGGAATATCTAACAGTCATTACCATTAGACGTTGTACAGTGTTGGTGGTTTAATGAAATGAAGTAGATCTGCAAAAATATATTTGGGTTTAAATTTGCTTTAGGATGGGGAAATCAATTTTTATTGAGTTATTCATTAGGAAAAGCTGTCTGTTTTTTTTATCTCCTTTTTCACTAACTATATTCCATGGATATATCATTAAAAATAAGCTTTACTGAACATTGAAATATTAAAATCTAAGAATTATTTTACTAATTTCATCTTTTAAGCATCAAAACAAATGCAGGAGAGATTGATGAATGGACAAACTTTTTAATTCTTTTTGCCATGTTAGTTTTTTAAATCCAATTTCTCCTGTTTCTAGCAGCCCTGAAAATTTTATATTTAGGGGGGGAAACCATGTAAGATACCTGTTTGTTTTATCTTCCATAAAATATGATTCTATTATTTTATCTCATCAGTTCATTGAGTCCTCATCAGATACATCTCAGAGCTCAGCTGCCTCTTTTTTGGATTTCACTAAATTGGAATACGTCTGTCTGAAATCACATTTTGTTCCACTACTCAGTTCTGTCACTCCCATTTGGAGGTTTTTGCACTTGCAAGAGCTTCTGTTCTAATAATAATCTGGACATAAAATGGTGATACGCTGTCTTCACTATTTCTACGGTAGTGCAGAGCTAGAAATCTCGATTGTTCTCTGATTTAAGGCTTCTCCCTCTGTCCTGTTGCAAGTTACTAAAGTGATGGAGATTATGCAAAAGATTTTGACTTGTAGCTGACTTTCTCCTCAACCTTTCTCCAGGGTTCTTTTACCTCTGAACATGTAGGAGAAGAACAGTAGTGTGATTGATGGAGTTTGAAAGAGAGGATGTATATGACTGTACAAAAGAGGTTCACATTCACTCCAATATTAAACGCTTGCTTTGAACTGTTATAACATATCATGATCATACAAGTAGTCTTTGTTTACTGACTATTGAGTTGACCATTGCAGTTTACAATGGTGCTGCAGAAGTAATTTCGTGACCCATTTACGACCTATGATACTTATGTTGTCCACTAGATGGTGCTAAATTACGATAAACATTTGGATAGTATATTGGTAGCTGGGTATTAATATGCCATTTCTGAATAATTTAATTTCCTTTCCTGTTAGCTGTTATATTAGAGAATATTACAGGTAATAAAATAAATAGAAGTAAACATTTTAATTTATATCTATATTTTAAAAATCATAGTTTTTAATGTCAGAGAAGCGTAATGCTGGAATTTATTTGATTTGTCAATCACTTACAAGATAATAGATAAAAGAATAAACATGAGTATGAATACAGGAAATAGGTACAAATAAATGGGGACAATCGGACAGGGACGGTAGGCACAATTGTTCACTTATGCACGTCCCTTACAGACCTCTTAGGAATGGGTGAGGTCAATAGTGGATAGATTGAGGGTAAAGGAGTGGGGGGCGGGTTTGAGGATGTAACAACAGAGTCAGGTAGTACATTCCAGGCATTGACCACTCTGTTGCTGAAGTCGTACTTTCTGCAGTCAAGTTTGGAATAGTTTACATTGAGTTTGTATCTGTCGTGTGCTCTTGTATTGTTGCGGTTGAAGCTGAAGTAGTCATTGACCGGTAGGACATTGTAGCAGATAATTTTATGTACTATGCTTAAGTCCAACCGTAGGCAGCATAGTTCTAGGTTGTCCAAGCCCAAAATATCAGGCCTGGTGGTGTAGGGCATTCTGTTGCAAGCAGAGGAGTATAGTACTCTTCTCATGAAATATTTCTGAATTTGCTTAATTGTATTAATGTCCGATACACAGTGTGGATTCCAGCTGAGCTGTATTCTAGTATTCGTCTAGCAAAAGTTTTTCATGCCCTTAGTTAGCAATTCAGTATTACTGGAGGAGAAGCTTCATAAGATTAGATTTACAGCCTTAAAGCCTTTTTGGCAATGCTGTTGCAGTGAGCTCTGGCGCTTAGGTCATTTGATATGAGTACTCCAAGGTCCTTGATGGAGTGTCAACGAGGTCATATCTGCCTAGCTTGTATTTGGTGTACTGATTTTTTACCATTGAATTGAGATGAAAAATACAATCAGATCTATCAGCCTGAATTGAGACACAATTCTGGACAGACATAGAAATTCTAAATTCTTCTGTATATTTCTTTTATAATTCTTTAAGCTGCAGTCATGGCCTTTGCTTGTGGATTAGGCAACTTGAGAGTATCTCTCTTATAAAAATCAATAAAATAAACCTGATTTTGAACTCTTCCTGATTTTCCCACAGATGTGTAACTGCAATTTTTAATTTATTTACAACAATTAGATTCAAAGAGCTGATCCATTATTTGCCAAATATATATTGCAAAACACTTCCTAAATTTCTTTTCAGCAGATACAGTAATTCTAAAAAGATATGTTGAAAGCAGAATAGATTGAAAATTATTCAGACAAGTATAGTGAGCCTTCATTATTCACAAAAGCTGTTCCAGACAAATATGAAATGAAACTTATCAAATGTAGTACCAGATAAGAAAGTTGCCTTGTCAAATATTTTATGTATTTTCCTAAACAATTACAGTCTGCATGGTTATAGCTCAGTTATGCCCCTTTGATCTCTCTACAAGAAACATTTATATAAGATAAATAAATCATACCTTCACAAATATTCAGTGATATTGATCATAGATAATTTAGTTGATTCCATGTGCCAAAGACATATTTTCTGGAGAACAGATTAGTATAGTTTTGCCTTCCCTCCCTCTCAGGGTTACTGTTTGAAACATTAAGAAAAAATGTTAAGTAACCTTTATGGAGATTGACATGCATGTGATTTGTCCACCTTGATTCATCCCATTGTCTCTCTTAAGGAGTAAGAGTAAATATTAAATGTTTCAGTTTATCCTAAATATTGTAATGAATCTAAATACTAATCCATTTCAAAAGTAGATTTTCCATTGCAATGAAATCAGATATTTGTAAAATGTTGGTACTTTTTTAAAAATTATGTAGGTATACTGGGACAACAACAATACATATTTGCCAATCTTTGAAATTATTTATATCATTTTCCTGTGAGTTGATATTATTTACCATTACTTTGAAAGTTGATACAGTTAGCTGCTCACACTGTTCATTCTATCTTCTTTCTGCTACAGATTAAGAAAGCCTACAGACAGAAGGCCCTGACCTGTCATCCGGATAAACATCCAGATAATCCTAAAGCAGGTATGGAGACTTGTGATAAAAATCTGTCTGGCTGTTTTCCATGTCCATCAGAAGAGAATAGATTTTTTTCCCCTCCAAAGATATAATGATATATAACAAATCTGAAATCAGTTACAGTTAGGCAAGATGGCAGTTTCTATGAGACAGCTTGCAAGATGGTCACTGGATATAAACTAGTTTCCCCATAGCATTACAGATCCGGTACTAATCTCTCTCTTAGAATTAGAATTCTTTTATTGGCCAAGTGTGATTGGACACCCAAGGAATTTGTCATGGTGCAAGGGCTCTCAGTATACATAAAAGAAAAGATATGTTCATCAAGAATCATAAGGTACAACACTTAATAATAGTCATAGGGTACCATAAGCAATCAAACCTTACTCAACACCATCATTTAGGTGTTTACATTCTCCACATGTGGACAATAGGCAACCTAGGGTTGCTGACACTTGCTACAAGTTTACTCTGAAAGGAGAGAAACGTCCACTGTTAAGAGAAGAGCAGAGCCAGTCTCACTGTTGCTGCAGTGAAACTGTTGAGCAGCAGCAATTATCTTTGTAAGTGCCCTGAGTCAGAGTGAATTGGGCAGTCATATAATTTTTCATAAATTAATAAATAAAATTAATCTGCATTGCTGAACAATTGATTGTCAATAGTTTAGTTGGTATAGCTCTATAGCTTCCTTTATTTATGAGGGAGATCCAGTTTGGTCCTTAGAGTAGGTCTTCCTAATAGATTACCTCAAAGGCCTACCTTACCAATGATCTTTACCACAGATGCTGCCATCATCATTACCAAGGAGCCCATCACTGCCAAGGAGCCTGTCAGATTAGTCTTGAATCTAGCTGTACACATACTTGTATTATCACTAATGTACCCATATCTTTTCAAATGGCCTGTCATAAAGGCAACTCTGGCCTCAGAACCGTGCTGGGGGAACCAAAAGTTATGGATTAGAGGACCTCCTGTATTTCATTGGGGGCGGGATTAGTTTTCCTCCCACTCTCTGCCTTCTACCTGCAAAGTGTCCTTCTCATTCCAGTGCTTTTAACCTTCTAGTTCAGAGATCAGCCAAGGCAGTCTTGAATTGTTCGTACCTGTGAAGGATGATCCTCTTGGTCCTTTTAAGTGTGTTTCTTTTTTTGAGAATTGAATTATTATCTTTATTTGTGAAAAATAACTGCAATATTTAAGGATGTAGAACTTTGGAATCTTTGTCTTTAATTAGATATAAACCAATAATACCAAATTGATTTTTAAAAGATAGGGCAAGTTTAAATTTTAAAATAAACTTAATTTCTGATGTTATATGATGCTTGGTCCTGTTGTGTTAAATCTTTTATCCAAGTAAAGTGAATAAATGATACGTACCTAAAATGATACAAATTTCCCTACTTTTTTTTTTTAATGTTCTGTAGCTGAACTCTTCCATCAGTTGTCTCAGGCATTAACAGTTCTAACAGATGCAGCAGCAAGGGTAAGGAATTTGGTTCTGTGTTACTAATGCAAACAAATTTTGGTTTTGTCATTGCAAATTAGTGCTTGGACAAGCAAATACCTTTATATGCACATTTTTCAGCTGCTGAAAATCTACCTACCTATTGCTATTATACAGGAATATCCATTTTCCTATAGACTTTTCAGGAAAGAATATTAGTTAGAGAAAAAGGCTCAGAAAAATATAAAACAGGTAGACAACATTTTGTTTACATCTCTTCCCTCCACCAAGCTTTCCATATTTGTTTAATGTTTTCATATGTGTAATACTTGACATTCAGTTCTGTGTCAACTCCCATAGATGTCTAAAACTAAATTTATTAGTGAATCAAATATGTACTTAAACACCGTATAAAAATAACATTGTGATTTTACTTCTCTGTGCAGAGAATACATCTACTTCCCTCACTAATATATTCTGGATCACTTTCTTTTTCTTCTTTTGTCTTTGATAATGAAAGATACCGAAATATATAGAACTATTACAATTCAAATAGATAAATTTAATATTTTAAATAGATGATTTATCTTACCTTCTTTCAGTATGTTTTGTCCTGTTTCTTTTTTTGTAGGTAGCCTATGATAGAGTGAGGAAAGCAAAGAAACAAGCAGCAGAAAGGACCCAGAAACTTGATGAAAGAAGGAAGAAAGTTAAACTTGGTATGTTATATTAGACTGTTTTTATTGAGAAAATAAACTCCAAGGTTACAGGATCTTTATAATAATATCAGATGTACAGTTCATTTACAAACTGCATATTTATATATCATTAAGGCTATAGGTGCAGTGAAATATACTTACAATCAAAATAGTTTTATCTTATTCCATTTTTTTAAAAAGGTAAGTTAATTTTCTATACATATTGTTATTGAACTTATTGACATTATTAAAAGATAAATATATCCATATAAAGAGAAAGTAGAAAAAATAAAAGTGCTAGATACACGTAAGGAGAAAATAAAGTTAAACTTATGACTTCCAATCTTTACCACAGATACAAAACGATTTTTTTATCATATCTCTCCCTTTAGAATTATATGAGTCCCATGTTCAATACTTTTTAATCCAGAAATCATCACTACCATTTTTGTCCATTTTCGGCAAAAAGGTTTCCAATCTTTTATAAAAGTACATACTGTTTTGTCCCTAAACAAACTGTTCAATTTTGCCATTTCTGCAAATTCTGCCATCTTCACAGCCTATTCCTCCGCTGTTTATACTTCTATATTTTCTCATCTTTGTGGTATAATAACCTGCTGTCGTTATAATATAGAAAACTGATTGTCCATGAATCTTTTCTAATTGTGTATTAAGAAATCATAGTAAAGTTTTTACTCGGTTTTATGATCTGAATATTAAATTTTAAAAAATTGCATCATATGCATGTGTTTCCAGTACCTTTTCATTTTTTCGCAAAGTCAGCCATGTTTTTTCATGCTTTTCACATTTTCAACCGTAATTAAAATTGCTGTTATCTGTCCTACACAATTTGTCTGGTGACATATAGAAACAGAATATCATTTCAAATTATAAGATACTGAATTTCAAACCTTTTTAACTACATTCTCTTTCATTGATCCATTGTAACTCAAGTTCTTTGCTCATTTTACCATACACTCTTTAATTTGTACTTTTTCAGTTTCAAATCTTAATAAAAGTTTATGCATTTTAGCAATTACATGTTCATCATTTATATAGTGTATAATTCATGTTTAAATTCTGTTTTATGGTCTATATCTGGCACATATCTGTATTGAATTTTTCTCTTAATTGTATTAAAACCGTTGAAACTAAATCCCTCTGCAATTAATTCTTCTACTATGCTGCAGATCTTGAAGCTCGGGAGAAAGAAGCTAACTCCCAGGTTAGCAAGGCAGAGGAGATTGAGATAACTAAAACATTAGAGCAAGAGGTAAGGTTATTGTGGTAAACAGATATTATTTTATATGAAAGGTTTCAATGCACAGGCAAATAAGCACAGTATTTAATTCAGTAGAAAGCACTTGCTTTGCATAGATAAAATTTCAGGTGTCAGTTTTTGCATCTTCCAATATAACTTGTTTGCAAAAATCTAGGAATTCTCCAGTAAATGTAGAGATTGTTAAGCAATATTATAAAATAATATGGTATAGACAATTTTCTATGTTCATACTTCACACATTAAAAAAACTCTTTAGTTCATTTAATTTGATCGATAAATAGAATGTGGAGCTAGAGAAATGATAGGTCAACTTTTTATGACAGTTTCCCCCCAAATTGTAAGTATATTTTTTAATTAGAGACAGTTCTTACAGCAATATTGCCAGGATTTTTCTTTTCTGCTACTCATCCCAGATCCAAAGGTTACGTGAAGAGGGATCTCGGCAACTGGAGGAACAACAAAAACTCATCCAGGAACAAATCCGGCTTGAGAAAGACCGAATACGAAGTAAGGCCAAGCAATATTTTGCTTGCTTTTTAGAGATTGAATGTTTTACGCTAATTCTGACATGAAGCTTTTTTTTTAAAAAAAAGAGTTAAACTGAATTCATTAAAACGTTTTCCAAACTAAATGCACAGGATTGCATCTTATCTTGTAACATGACTTTAGACAGTTGTTTATTTTCCAAGAACTTTATACCTATCATAAAAGTGAGGAAATGAAAATTAGTTTCATGAATGTTAATCAACAGCTTTGTGATTAACTGTTTGTTGCGATTTCTTCAGTGCCAACTGACATGACAGATTTGCTTTTCAGTCTTTCTACCAAGGGTTTATATTTCTTTATTCTTATTGACGATGATGCTTTATCTCTGGGAGTACAGAGTAAATTAAGACATCTGTTGATTTGTATATCAGGATAGTTTAAATTTTGTCTGTAATAGAATATAGAATTGTAATAGAATTGATTGGGAGATCAAACAATGTAAACTGAACTAGAACACTGGACTTTGTTCAGCCATAAGTTAATCTTTTTAGGTTCAAAACTATTGCAACCATAATTTCATTTTATTTGATTTCTTTGAGGTAAACAAGATGGGTATGGAGGGCATGGCACAGGAACACCCAAGCTCAAAGTAAGACATCCCCAAAAATTTGAGCTATGAAGAAAGATGAACAACTAATTTATCATTCCATCAGTAGAAGCCACATGGATCGCCTGCAGCCTCCCACACACAGTTGGACTGCCCTTGGCATCCTCGCTCCTTATGGGAATTGTCACTTACTTCACCTTAATGTGTTCCTTGCACTTTAATCTAGAATCTAGGCTCTAGGATAAAGGTAATTAGAAGTTAAGTCTCTGTCACTTGGAATATTGACAGATTTCCAGATGCTACTTGGTGTATGTAATAAGTTTTCGTTATTCTAAAATGTTATTTATTATGCTTCCATATGCCTCAAAGTGAAAGTTCATTCAACATTCTAATTCATTACACAGTATTTATAGTAACATTAGACAACCTGTAACCTATTGTGTCATTGTTTTCTCATTCTGTGGCTTTTGTTGTCGTTCTGGAGATGTCCAGCCCTTTCATCCTTGATTTCTTCATCTCCTTTGCGCTTTGCTTTTTGTCTCTGTTCCTGAAGATATGCATTTTTTTTACTCCTTCGTCTCTTCTGTGCCTTTTGTTAACATTCTAAAGACATGCACACCTCTCACCCTCTGACTCTCCCTCCTTCTCTCATGTTATTTGTGATGACTGATCCTGGAGGCATACAGCCCTGCCCCATCCATTTTTGTACGCTCCTTCTCCTTACAGTTTCTCAATGACATTTGATGTCATCTGTTGACCATGTTGTTTTCCCTCTTTCCATATGGCATAATGAAACTGACAATATTTAAAACAAAATACTTTATTTTTTAACCACAATGCTATATGGTACCATCATCACTTCAGAAGAGTTCCAGCTTCCTGCTGGCTTGCAAAAAGCCAGCAGGGAGTTTTGGAAATGACAGTCATATGACTTTGCCTGATTGTGGCAGTGCAGCAGCACAGCTGACTACAGCAGTGTTGCAGTGCTGAAGTGACCACAACTTTGCCAAATTTCATTCCCATAGGAGTAATGGGTCCTGGATTTTGGATATATTTCTTTAAGTTAACCTGTTTGAAATACATTGGTCCAAAAATTGTTGCTCCTACGATGCACCGTTTTCCCCAATTGAGGGTTGAAACAGACAAACAGGAGAGTTTTTGGAATATGTAGATAGAAATGAAAATAAATTGAGAGTTTGATATATAGTAGGCCTTGGGCCTTGTACTATGTGAAACTAATGGTGGCTTTTCTCCATCAGCTTCGATGGAAGTGCAAGAAAGAAGATGAAACTAATGGAGGTTACTCAAAAGAAATTCTACTGCAAATTCTACAAAAGGTCCTGTTCTAAAATGCCTTACCATAATTGGCCTTGCTTAATATTATTCAAATTCATATGGAAGAATAAACTAAGCTTGTGGTACATTCTACTTTGGCTTGAACGAGCTATATGCAAGTGCATTCAGTTTGACCTATCATTTGAACTAAAAATCCTGGTTTATTTTCTTCTACAGCTGAAGTCCATGATTTGGTCTTGTATTTTGAATTCTAGTTTTTTTGGTATCTTGATTAGAACAGCACTGAGCAATCTGGGGATTATTTAACTATATGCAGTAGTAGGAATAAACAAATGAAAGCAGACAGACTAAATTCCTTAGCCTGTGTCTATTCATTGTAGAAGAGTCACCAGAATGCCACATTCTTATTCTGTATAATTATGGCCCTTTTGTAGGAATGAGCAAATATTTTTATATAAATTCTTTCATAAACCAATGAGATTATACCATGAGCATTATAAATCTTTTCCAGATAAGTTAACAAAGGGAGGTATTGCTTAATATGTATTAATATCTAATGTCACTTTGGTTAATACAAATTCATGATAGGCCTGTTCCACAGAATCCTTTGCTTAATCTAGCAATTTCTCTTTAACCAAATATTCTAGCTGTTGATACAGAGGATTTTTTTTTGTTTTAAAAGCATTAATAAAAACATGATCTCATATATAGGCTTTATAACTGTCCCATACAGTTTGTAGAGTGGGTGAATCATGATTAATTTCAAAAAATTAAGTTTAATTATGTAATATAACTCAAAAAGTTATTCTGTTATAACAAAGACCTAAAATACCACCTTCCTTGAACTGACTTTACCTTTTTTAAATTGAAGGGTTAATATGACCATTTATACAGTAAGAAGAGGATGAATAGAAAAACTTAAAACATTCCAATCATCAAGAGGAAATAAATAATAATTTAGTCTAGGACACATCCTATGAATAAGAAATAAACGTAAATCTCCTTCTCCAAGGGTAAAATCAAACATATAAATTATGCAATATGATATGGAGTGTTAGTGAGGCAGAATTATCAAACATTAAGGTAAACAAAACTTTATTTACATAATATCTTGCTTTGTTCTTATTAATACTTAAGGAGCAACTGCTCAGACAACTTATAGTCTTCCTGATAATATACGGCTGTCCCTCTGCCCTAGCTAGAATGATCAGTAGGAGTTGCTGTCCATTCATTTTTGAAAGGCCACTTATTGCCTATCCTTTCACTAGAATAATTTGGCTGGTGCCTTTTTTTCTTAGAGTCTGTATCATTTCTGCAATATTGCCTGTGTGAATCAGTGTCCCCTATAATAAAATCTCTGAAAAACTCAGCCTACATCTTACATTACATTTCTTCTTGATTCTGATAGTATGGTGAAGTTCTTAATTTGCTGATCTCTAACAAGAAGTCTGGAAGTGCTGTTGCGGAATTTGCTACAGTGAAAGCTGCTGTAAGTTATTTTTGTTTGCATTTTAACTTAGAAATATGGAGGTGTACCACAATGGCTACACTAATGCAAGAGGTTCTGCAGGCAATTATTGAAGAAGGTAGCATTATAAAATACAGATAGTTCATGTTTGACAACCACTCATTCAGCAAACATCCAAAGTTACAATACATTGAATGAGACTTACGACTAGTCCTCAAAGTTGCAGCCATCGCAGTGATTCTATGGTCATATGATTGCAATTTGGATCTTGATGACTGGCCTCTAATTACGATAGCTACAGCATCCCATAGTTATCATCATTTGTGACCTTCACCAGCAAAGTCAATGGGAAAGCCAGCATGAGGTCACAAATGGTGATCATGTGACATCACACACCTATCAGAAGAATATAATGCCAAACATTGAAGAAGGTTTTCAGAACTCAATTCACAAGGAATCTGGTTAAAAGAGCAAATCCTATAGCCCTTTCCCCCTCAGTTCCCCATCTTTTGGTATGTTTATTCTGGTGCTAGAATAATTAGCAAGAAGATAATTAATGTTTGCATTTACATTCATTGGAGAGGAAGAGATTATAACAGACGGGCACTCAGGAATATACATTGAAAGGAATGCACTAGCACTGTTGTTTGCATAGTGTGCTGATGGCTACAAGCAGTGAGTTGCTTAAGAGGCAATCAAAAGCATTATGTAAAACTGATTAAAGGGTCCCCTCTATCAGACAGCTGTGCAAGCTAGCTGGAGGGTTCTAATCAACTAATTAAGGTCACAGCTGAGCTTATTAATTTGTCTTTAGTGCAGTTTAGTTATGCACTACACAGAGAAAAGCAGCTCTGGGGGAAAGATAGCTTGTTTAGGCAATCTCTGTTATGCCAGAGAGGACAAGAAAAAAATGAGTCAGGCACAGGACAAGGCCTCCCTAACTGACTGTAAGGGTGAACACTTGATTGAGAGAGAGATATTGCAGTGGTTGTAAATACAGACATTGGTTGCAAAGTTTCCTCAGTGTTGTAATTGCCAGTGGTCACTGTCTGAGGTAATTGCTAATTGAAGACTGTCTAGGACTGGTCTTTGGTGAAGATACTGCATGTAAAATACAAAATGTTTACAATAGTTGAAAAACCACTCTCCAGTTCCTATGGGGGTGAATGTCATTATTATTGTTGTTGTTGTTGTTTTTGTTTTTGTTGTTTTTGTTTTTGTTATTGTTATTCTCTGTAAAATGCCATTTTTGATATGGGTATCTATTGCTATTTAAATGATAGATATTGAGGTCTATTGAAAGAATTACAATATATTGTAAAATGATGCAGCCAACTATATTATTCTCCTTCTACTATCAGTTGATATGCTATATCAAGCGATATGAATTAATTTGGCAACTTGGGAGGGAAGTCAAAACAAGCCTGGACTGAACTTCTCAGTTCCTTTGCACACAGCCGGCATTCAATTATTTGCCTGCAGCTATTCTTCTTTTTGCTCAAGTTAATTACTGAAGCAGGGATCAATGAAATACAGATGATCACACAATGTTGTTTGTTTTTATCTGTTAGGAGATGGCAGTGAAGAATGAAGTTGGCCTAACATACAATCCTTTAAAAATCACCTGGCTGGAAGGTCAACCACAGACTAGTACAGTGTTTGCTGATGGCACTATTCACCCACATATATCCCAGGTAACAACAATACAAACTGCTTTTATTCTGTTTTAAAGTATAATTTTATTTTACATGTATTTGAGTGCTGCCAACGTATTTCTCACATTTCTGATTTGGAAGGCATTCTTTAAGCCACATGTTTTTCTTTTCAAATTTATTCTAACTGAAATAAATATAAGTTTGTTTTTAGTTTGGGATTCATGTATATTCATTAGGCTAGAATTAATACAATTGCTGCTAATTAGGAATGTGGAATGAAATATCCACAGCATTTACTTCGTTGGGGTTGGTTACAGAAGAAATATTATTAGCAGCTGAAGAAATGGGAGCCTTGGAAATAGATAAATGTGATAGTTTTTTTCTGGTAAGGAAATTAGGATAAACAAGTAGCCCTCAAAGGTTCCTTATACTGGGAACTCATGCTTTAGGCAGAGGTTGGGCAATCTATTTAATGCTGAGAGCTGCTCATGTTCTCAGATTCAGAGCTGCATGCACGTGCATGTGGATTGCAGATTTACCTCCCGCTCCTTTCCCAGCTATCTCAAGCAGAATTGCCAGAAGGGAAACAACACAGCTTCTCTGTCTTCTATGGACCACACCTTTTGCAACTATGGTCCATAGTTACCTTGTCCCAACGCTCAAAATAAAAATTATGCCTCTAATTATTGGGAACACTCAATATTTTTAAGCGGCTCATTAATTTAATACATAACTTTTGCAAATATGCAATATAAAATATCTCAGATACAATCTCTCTGAAATGTAATTCCTCTTAAATATCTTAACTACACTTTCAAATCTCCAATTAGGCTAGGTAGACTTGTAGACTTTAAAATAATATTTAAAAAGACAGTTTTTTTCTATGGTTTTTTCTATGTGATAGTTTTTTTCTGTTTGTTGATAGCAAAAATGTGTTTTTGTGAAATATGAATATATCTGCAAATAGAATATTTTTAAAGTGTTCATTTATTTTGATTTTATGTTTTCCATCTTTTTGACACAATTAGAAAATAATCTGTTAAATAATTTACAGACACAAAGCCACATGGATGGATCTAGGTCAGGGGTGTCCAACCTTTCACCTTCCCTGGACCACATTAGAAGATGAAAATTTGGTTTTGGCCGCACATAAAATAAAATAACAGTAACGATACCTGATCATCCAAAAAGCCCATAGAAAACATAGTTAACATATTAAATTTATTTGGAAATGAAGTTAGTGAGATATTTTTAATATTTATCATTAATTATTTATTAAAAATTATTTATTTTTTATCACGGGTTTTTTATCACAGTTTTTTTATCACGGTTTATTTTCCGGCCAAATTTTCGGGGGGGGGGGGAGAAAGCTCGCCCGCCTCGTGCCTACCTCTCCTTCTGCAAATGGCCTGGCTGGATGAGGCAGGACTGGAAGGCAGAAGCAGCAGCAGCGGCGGGAGCAGAAGCAGTAGCGGGGGCAGCGGCGGCGGGGGCAGAAGCAGCGGTGGCGGGGGAAGAAGTGGTGGCGGGGGCAGAAGCGGCGGCGGTGGGGGCAGAAGCGGCGGTGGGGGCAGAAGTGGCGGGGGTGGCGGGGGAGCAGAAGCGGCAGTGGGGGCAGCGGCGGGGGCAGAAGCAGCAGCAGTGGCGGGGCAGAAGTGGCGGCGGCGGCAGAAGTGGCGGCAGCAGGGGCAGAAGCGGTGGGGGCAGAAGCAGCAGTGACGGTGGAGGCAGAAGTGGCAGTGGGGGCAGAAGCGGCGGCGGGGGCAGCGGCGGCGGCAGAAGCGGCAGCGGGGCAGAAGTGGCGGCAGTGGGGGCAGAAGCAGCGGCAGCGATGGCGGGGGCAGAAGCAGCAGCGGGGGCAGAAGTGGCGACGGGGTAGAAGCGGCGGCGGCGGTGGCAACAGCAGGAGGTGGTGCTCTGACGGCGCCCGCCTTTTCTCTTGCAGCTTGGCCTGGCGCTCGCCTCGCCCCGCCTCGCACCTGCCTCTCCTCCTCCTCCTCGCTGGCTCTGGCACGAAGGTTGAGGTGGGCACTGGGCCGCATGACAAGGCGACCTGGGCCACATGCGGCCCGCGGGCCGTGTGTTGGACAAGCCTGATCTAGGTGATGGTAGGAAAACAGGAGAATCTGTAGATACATTGTAAATGTGATATTTGTTATATTATTATAAGCCGCCTAGATCAACCACACAGCGGGATAGGTAGCAAAATAAATAAATAAATAAATAAAATAATTCTGCAATAGTCTCCCCCACCCCCATCTTGACCCTTCCTTGAGTACAACTCCCATCATTTCCAACAATTATTATACATATGTGAACTGGAAATATGTTCCTGTCCCCATTTCCCACCCAAAGTGTTGTGGCCTCAACTCAAACGTAAATAAACAAAATTAAGAGACTTTGGCCTTAGTTTGGCCTCATTTTTCCTTTGCACTTGTCCTGAATACAGTTTTCTGGCAATATGTGGGTGAAAAAAAATAGCTGTTGTGTACTTAATGAGCAGGTATATTGCCAGCTGTTTTAAAAGAAGCATTTGTTATGTGTGATAATAAGTAATAATTACTTACTACTTTGCTAATAGGGAATTCGGTAATTTGGGCTTAATTCACAGTGGCTGGTCCTGAGAAACTGCTTTGCAGTAACTCTGATGTTTATTGTGCCTGTGTAGCTCCACCATGGACATATTTAGAGCTCTTTAGAGCAATTGCCTTTCCACTCCTATTCCACAGGGCTGCGTTTACTGCCATAGTTTATGTTGACCAGAATGCATTAGAGAAAAATGCTATAGCCAACAATACTCAACTGGGTAGAATCCATCAGAAAACCCAGGTTATATGGATTATTTGTTACTAACTTAACAACTGTAGTTATTCACTTCACAATTGTGACAAGAGAGATTGTAAAATGGGGCAAAACTCAACAACTACACTACTTTGCTGATCAATGGAAATTTTGGGCTCAATTTTTTTTTTAATGTTCACAAGATTGGTAGAGCTATTGCAAGCAGTCCCAATATATATTATTGGTACTAAATCCCATTCCTAAGAGTGAAAGAGGATCAACTGACTACAATTAAAAGTTGTTGCTCATGTTTTGGTAATAGAACCCTGGTGTTAAGTAGAGATAGTCCTTGACCTGTGACCACAATTGAGCCCAAAGTTTCCATTGATCAACAAAGTAGTTGTTGAGTTTTGCCCCATTTTATAATCTTCCTTGCCACAATTGTTAAATTAATAACTGCAGTTGTTAAAGTAGTAGTATGCATATGGACCAAAGACAAATCCTTTGTGTGTCCAATCACACTTGGCTAATAAATAAATTATTCTATTAAGTAAATCTGGCTTTCCCATTGACTTGGCTTGTCAGAAGGTCGCAAAAGGCGATCACATGATCCCGGGGCATGTAACTGTCATAAATACATGCCAATTGTCAAGCATCCGAATTATGATCATGTGGCCATGGGGGTGTTGCAATGGTCATAAGTGTGAAAACTGGTCATAAGTCACTTTTTTCAGTGCCTTTATAACTTCCAGTGGCCATTAAAGAAATGGTTGTAAGTCAAGTACTACCTATATTGCTTATTATGTCATTGAAGATGGCAACATCTAGCTAAATTGGCCTGATTTCAAAAAGCTAAGCAAATCAAACTTGATTAATATTTGAATGAGATTTTACCAGGATATCAAGAGTACAGTTTAAAATGACAAATTCAAAAAAAACATTACGGAAGAACACAGAGGCAGATCTCTTCTGTATGTTGCCAAAAAACATGGGCGTCACCAGGAATCAAGAATGATTCAGGAGAGACATTAGCTGTTGCTTCTTATGAAATCTTTTCTGTCTTACTTATTTTGTCTTTTCTTCTTTTCAAGAGGCTATGTGACATGTCTTTGCTAAAGGGTTAAAAAAGAAGTAGGCGCTCCAATTAAGTATATAGCTTATAGTGGCGAGGTAGTTGTGCTAAATAAAGGAAGTCCTTATTAGATTGCAGAGTTTGGGCTGTTGTGTTCCAATATTAATAGGTGATCCATTGCTGAATTATGTTTTTGACTACACGGCAGCAATTTAATGCAATTATCTTGCAATTTATATCAGGTCATGTACTTAGTGTTTATAGTAGATTTCCTGCTAAAAAATAGGAAATAAATGTATTTTATATCAGTATATTTTAGATTAAAAGGATAAAAGAAAGGTATTTTATCCTGAAGGAATATCTTGCATCTGAACCAACTGAGAATAATTAAAGAGATAAGCATCTATTCAGTACGCTGTTAGTCTGAAAGAAGATTGTGGGTCACTTAAAATTGCAGAATGGCTCTACATTCAATGAAAACATCCGTTCATCGCATAATACGGACTATATGTGCGAGCAGTTTCTGAAATCCTTAAATTACAGGTAGACCTCAACTTACAACCTCTCGTTTAGTGATCAAAGTTACAACGGCACTGAACAAAAGAGGCTTATAACCAGTTTTCACACTTGCAGGATCCCCAAAGCCAGATTTGCTTAATAACTGCATGATTTGCTTAACAGCTACAGTGACTCACTTAACAGTTGTGGCAAAAAGATCATACAGTGAGATAAAACTCACTTAACAACTGCCTTGCTCAGCAACAGAAATTTGGGGCTCAGTTGTGATCATAACCCAAGGATTATCAATATTAGAATAATTGAAAAATGTCTTGGAAGACTCGATACCTATTGTTTATTTTTCCAGATAATTGAAGAATATTATCTTGGTAGGAATTAGTTTTGCAAGAATTTAGGAAGAAATAGCTAACCTATTCTAACAAATTACATAAAATCAATAAAATAATTAAAGACTAAAAGGTGGCAACTGTGACTAACCAGATGGAATTAAGTGAGGGGTCTCAGTTTCTTTCACCAAAGGCCTGGATGAACAGCCGAATCTTCATGGCTCTTTTGAACAATCACAGAATGGGGCCATCTGGATCTTGGGAGGAATCTTTTTCCAGAGGGCAGATGCTGTTACGGGGGAGGTGTCCCTTCTAGATCATGATATAGGACTTAGTTTAATTGAAGGAACTCATCACATCTGCTTTGCAGGATTGAGTTGGCTGGGCAGATGCTTTGAGTGACAGATAATGTAATAACCAGATACTATGTCATACAGGGTTTTATAGGTAACTAACACCTTGAATGACACCCCGAAGTAAATGGCAACCAATGCAACTTGAAAAGCAGAGGTATTGCATGGGTATATCAAGGCATTACTGCCCATATCATTGCATTCTGGATCAGTGGAAGCTTCAAGGGCAGTTCCATGTAGAACATGTAGTAGTCAAGTTCTGAAGAGATTAGAGCATGAGTGAACATCTGAAGGGCCCTTTGATATATAAATGCGTATATTTTTTTCTTTTGTGTTGTTTTGTCTCATTTGTGTTTTGCTTTTTATATTTACACTGCTTTGTATGTTGCAAGTTTTTCTTTCAGTCTGTTAAGTATAATGGCAAAAAAGAATGAAAACTAAAATAAAAAGAGAGGGCAACAGAAGTCACCAATTGGTTTGGACTAAACCGCATTTAGTCGTGTTTATGATAATCAGTTTTGTGGAATAGGTGAACGTCTCCTATGGATTTATTGTGATCACGTGCCTGAGTTAAAAGAGCTCAGTAGCTAAAAATAATACCTGCCCCCAAGTCTGTCATTTCTCTTCTGGGCCTGCAATTTACATTGTGCTCGGAACTGGAGCGGTTTGTTCTATCTCATTGATTTAATAAGAGGAAAATGTTTTACAATTACACTGCTCAAAGAAGCCAGTGGGAAAGTACCTTCCTACAACTTCCTATTCTAGATTTTGTGAAGTAGTTTCTCTTCAGATTCCTCCCATGTACCTCCCCTTTTCTTGTCACCCATTGGGTTGATTTATCCATTTGATGGTAATTATAGGCCTATATTGTACAAATGTTGTCATTCTCATGCATCTAGGAGCAAACATCTTGTGGTTTGAACCTGTTTGTTGGCAATCCCCTTGAAGTATATAATGCTATAGATTTTTGTTTGTGTGCGTGTGTTAGAAAAATGAGATAATTACAAAGTCTGGCTATATTTGTTCTCATCCTGAGGAAATAAACATGAGCTCATTTTTGACACTAACGTACTCATCTGACTCTGAAGTTAAAACAACAATGGAAGCCCTTCTTATGTCAAGAATTCATGTCACAATTAAACTTTAAGTATGTAGCAATAAGTGGAGTTCAGAATTCAGTTGAAGTATGAATAGCATTAGTCATGTTTGCATCTGTCTAATGCAGCTGCTTTAATTTGGCAATAAAAGTGCTGTGGGACTCTGATCCAATTTGGATGAAGTCCCTTGCTACTCTCTATGGTTTCCCCATCGCAGTTTTTTTTAATTGATGTGACTATAAATCACAATGATGTTTGCAAATGATTGTTAGTAGTAGATACATTACTTGATAAAATAGGGTAGCCTTTCCCCCCTCCCAAATTCAACATCTTTCAGGTGTGTTTTCATCACAGCAATGATCAAAGTGATTGGAACTAGTACAATACTTTTGAAGATGCCAGGCTGGAAAGGGTAATATACTAAGGCTTTTCCGTTTACCTATTAGATGAATACAGGTCACTGGAAATTGAAAAATGTGCAAAGGAAATAAAGCAAATTGGTTTAATAAAGAGTAGCATATACATTCCCATTTTATATTCATAGTATGACATAAATGCAGTTATTAATTCCCCTAATCAGTTCCCCCAAATGAAAGGAAGAAATTAGAAAAATTCTGTACTGGCACAAAAGAAGATAAACTTCATATTTTATAATTCCTATTTCATTATTGGTAGACCAGCACTCTTGCCCTCTGTGTCCTATCAAAATCTTATGTATAACAGTTGAGCTCTGAGATATTTTAAGATTATTTTACCCAAACAAATCCATGTATTCCATATGACACAGCTTCCTCTAACCATCTTCCTCTTACACATACAAGTATAGTCTAGAATTTCTGATTGGTTAAGTATAGGAAGTATATTGCCTGCTTATTAAAATGAGATAGAAAACATAATTTACTTAATATCAACTTATAAGAGATGGCATAAACTTCTTTGGGAACAAATTTATTTTAAAAAGAACCAAAAATAACTTAGTCCATTAATCAGAACAGTCATTATGAGTAACTTTTGGTTTTAATGAGAATTCTAGCTAATTTAATAATGAATTCTGTTTTCTGAGTGTTTGTAAAACATCATCCAGGAGTGAGGGTCCCAAATCTAGTGTGAAGGAAAGGAAGGGATCTGATGGATCAAAAGGAGGTTTATTGTTCCTGGAGAAAGTTTCAGAGTTCATGGTTTGGGCTTTGTATATATCGGTTGGTGTTTTAGTAGCCTTATGAAAATGACAGGAAGTGCTTAAAAAGGAGATATCTGTAGAGGAAGATCCTCTGTGGTCTATTATATTGGGGCAGCTGGCAGTGTCCAGATATAAGCGAGGTGGTTTGGGAGGTGGTTGTGTTTTAGTGGTAAGATTTTGTTCACTTTGACATGAAAAATAGTCTGGCTTTTCTTTGAAATTTCTTAGGAACCTCTTTTTGTCATACTGTTCATTGGAGTCTAACGATTGGCTGTTCTGGTTCAAGATAATAGCTTTGTTGCCCAATTTCTTGTTCCTCCTGAATGAGAGCCGCTTAAAGAAACCTGAGGACCTAATAGATCCTCTCCTCCATGTGTCCATGTTGAGAGAAGTCGTAAAGTGATGTTTGCTAAGTAATCAGTAGTCTTCAGGTAAACTGAGGCTCCTGGAGTAGAGAACTTCTTTCTTGTTTGCTAGAAGAAGAAAAGAGATATTAACAAGCAGGTCTGTGTATTCAAAGTTGGACTTGCATGCATTCTTTAAAAAAAGAATGTAAGGAATGCCACAAAAGTAGCTTTCACAATAATTCTCATGGCTAGAATTTTGCAACCCTACAAGTAACTAAGATTTTGAGAAGAATACCGAGTAAATGTAGTTTTTTCCCCCCCAATTTTTTTTATTTCAATCTACATATAACAACAATACATTAACAGTGTGGTATCAATATATCATACATCTCTCATTGCATTATATTCATATTAATTCATATTTCTTCAATATTTATTTTCAACCTTACTCTCTCCAAATGCCTACCACCATATCAATTAAACATACCTAATAATTCCATTATTCAATTTTCTCCCTGTTTTCATTTTATTTTTTTGAAATGAAAAATTCTCATTTGGCAAGCAGTGTGGTTCCAGGTTTCACATCTCAGTACAAATATGACCATAGTTACCTATACATTTTATTCATTTAATTTCATATTGCATCATCCTTGTCATTATTAAATATTAAGCTTATCTTATCCAATCCCAATTAATGTTCTCGTATCTTATTTTACAATATTATCTAAAATTCTTATCTTAATTCTATGTTCATTTATTCAATTCCAAATCCTAATATATATCCTTCCATTTTTCTTAGTATATTCTCAAATCTTATTTTACAGTGTTATCTAAAATTCTCATCTCCTTTCTATTATCATTTCTCATGTTATTATTATTATTTTTCCTGTCACATTTGTCATTTTATCAATCCTTATCCGTGAATATAGTTGTCCCCTCTAGTTAATAACTTGAGTTAACCACCTTCGTTCTTCCTTAATATCAATCTCCCTATCTAGTATAAAACACAAATATATATATTTTTCTCAGATTCTGCATTATATTTTCTCTATGAATCATCCATACATTACAAAATACTATTTTCAATACATTCTTATACATCCCAACATATTATCTTGCGAAATCCCCTTCCTTATCTCTTTTATTTCACCCATTATCTCTCACTCTTTGAACAATGTACCTTCTTTTCATCCTTGTTTGTTTCCTATTTCTCTTTATTTTCTGGTCCTTTCTCTTAATTCCCTTTTTCCCCATTCTTATTCCCCCACTTTTCTCATTCCAGTTATTAAACTTTTCTGTCTCCCTCTTTTGATTTTTTCCTTTGCACTTTCTTTTTCTGCTTTTCCATTGTCTCTTTATCCATTTTACGAACCATTCTCCCTTTTATCATCCCATCAGACCACAAATTTTTAATTCTAATTCCTTTTCCCCCCTGCTTAAATAATTGTTGTTCGTTTTGTTCTTTTAAGTTGGCTTCTTCTTTATAGAACTCCTCCCCCTCTGGTTTATTATGTTCTTGTGTATGCTGAGTCACCATTTCTAATTTCTGTAATACATAATTACACATTTCAAGTTTGATTTTTATCATGTCCCTTGTATCTTGCATATCCGATCTTATGTCTTGTGAGTCCAGTCTTATATCAACAAGTAGCTCCTCCATTATATATTCTCCTTTTTTCTTTTTCTTTCCTCTTCCTTAATAGTTGAAATCCTCTTCAATAGATATATTCAATCCCAGAGTCCAATATCTCATTTCAGCCAATATCTTTTGAGTTTATTCTCAGCAATTCATACTCTTAAGTCTTTATTCCAAATCTTCTAATTGGCCTCCCAACTCTTTCCCAAATTACCAGGTGGTTCTATGACAATAATAAAGTTCCTTTTATTTTCTTTCAAGTTCCAAGATCCAAACTCTTTAAAAGACCAGACACTCATTTTAAAACGGACTAAAGTTTTTCTGTACCATCAGGTGGTGCTCTTGAGTCTTTTTCTTTTTAACTTTCTTAATTGAATATAATATTTTTATTAAGTTTGTTAATTTCAATCATTAGCTATTCTTTTCAACACACTCAATTCCAGCATTTAGTTATGCCCTGTAAGTGCCCACAGTTCAATATATGTCCAGTTTAATTTTTAATCCTTTGTTGTGTTAATTTATTTTCCTTTAAATTTCTCCACCAAATTAGTCCAATAGAATAATCAAATCCAAATTTAAAAACCAATTTCTTTCTCACTTTCTCTGGTCGCTGCTTCCACACACTTTCCTCCAAAATAGCCCTTTAATTTGATACCGGGATACCTTAAAAGCAATGTCCTTTGCCTGGTTCATACTCTGCTCGCTACTTCTCTCCCCAGCACAAAACTTAGTTTCCCGGAGTGTTCTTCATCTTCGTGGTGGCCATTTTGGGACCAATGCTGCAGCTTGCCTTTGAGAGGAATTTTCCTGTCAGGGAGGGGAGTTGCAGCTCCCCTCAACCCTCCAGGCGATTTCCCCCTTCTTCACCACCCCACCAGGGTGGCTCCAGTCCCGATCGGGACCCTCCAGCAAGTGAGCTCGGGCGAAACCATGCACAATCACGGATTCGCACCGACTCCGACGAGGAACAAACTGGAAGTCAGTAAGTGTAGTTTCTGATATCAAAGCCCAAATGTAAGAAAATGCTTTGCATCTTAAACAGAAATTTATCTCGGAATTAAAAGTTTATTACTAGTATTTTTATTATGCATCTTTACATACCTAAGCACAGTACAAGACCTACAAAATATTTACAATTAATAAATTCCAGATTCTTTTTTTTTAATATCCCTGAATGCTTATTCCAAGTCCAAATTCACAGAAGTACAATAGAGGTGCTTTCAAATCAAACTTATTATTATTAGGATATGGTATTGTTACATTAGCCAGGAGTAGTAGTTTGGCTGCCAGTTTAGTAACTGTGTTGTGGTACACACACGTTTCCCAAGATGCGCCATAGGAGGGCAAGCTGGCTTCACACCAGAAAGACAAGCGGCTCTGCAGGTCATCCAAGGTGCCCCTCCCTCCACTGGAGCCGCCTCACAAATGGAGTTGCAACCAGAAAGGTTCAAAGCCTGTAGAAATCTGATGGCCTACATTAAGCACCAGCTTGTCTCCCCACTAAAGTAGTATCTATTTATCTACTTGCATAGAACATGCTTTCAAACTCCTAGGTGAGTAGAAGCTGAGGCAAGTGACAGGATTTCTCCCCATAATGCAGTGCTAGGACTTGAACTGCTGGAACAGAGACCACCTCCAACATCATTAAATCTCTCTCTCTCTCTCTCTCTCTCTCTCTCTCTCTCACACACACACACGTAGTTTTTTTAGCAACAGTACAGTAGTGATATGCTATTAATTTCTTCTGGGATATTTTCCTACTTTCCCGTTCAGCCGTATTCAATCTGACGGTCTCTCATCTAATATTAACTAGGTTCAACTAATTGACCAGCTGCTGCCATCTAGCTAGATATTTATAGTTAGCCCAGCTGTTACAAACTTCAGATAAACATCATAGTTTTAAATTCTACCTGCAGTGGTAAAAAGTATGGCATTCTTTGGGAGTGAGCTTATTCCCCAGTCTATACCCCATTGTTATACTTATTCCCCAGTCTATACCCCATTGCATTACTTTGCATCATCTTTCTGTTTCATTACATTATATCCCCCCCATTCTACATCCAAGCCTCCTCCTCTGTTATTCCTGTTTCCACAGTCTCTTCCACATCTTTCAGTAAATGTCTGCCTCTCTTTTCACTTCCTCACACTCAATTCAGTTCTTATTTCCTCTTTCGTTGCTCCATAAACTTGCAATAGCTTTCCTTGTTCTTCTCATCAGGCCTTTTTACATTTATTCACATTTCCTTTTTGGGTCAAGAACTAATACATAACCTGGGCTTGCTCCATTTGATCAACCTTTCAGTAAGCTGTCTTCCCCGTTTTCTGCTTCTTAGTCTGTGGTGTAGAACTTCATTCACACATTGACCAGATGATGCCCATTGCATAGGTGCTAGGCAGATAAGGAAGATATGGAAATTTCCATTGTTTCTTATTTGTAGCCTGCCATCCTTACATTATCCATCTTTACTGTAGGAAGGTGTTCTGTATCTTGGCTTCCAAACTGTGCTGATATATTGAATTTGAATGAAGGTTTAAATACTTGTAGAACACTACACCTGGATCGCAGAGTTGAACTGTCACAATAATGAAAAGTATCCAATTTCCTACTGTGAAAAGTTCACTATGGCCCCCCCGAGAGAGAGGCATCTATTACCAAAAAATACCAGAAGGATTTATAAATTAAGTAATTATGGCTTTATTTTATTTAAACAAAATAAAATTTAGAATTAATACTTACAGTGAGATGAACCAATAGAGAAGCAGCCAAGTGGGGAATACAGAAGGAAGCCCATCCAGTTCAGTGCACATTGTGGTTTTATTCCTTGGCAGTCTTTGAAAGATCATAGCATGTTTTCAGATTCCTTTGTTTCAAGCACCTTTTCTTCAGCACCTACTTTTCACTTCTTGCTCAGCCACTCATATGTTCTGTGGGTGGTAATTCCTTTGTGTGTTTTCTATGCCAAGCCCTTGCTGACTCAGTCACATCAGAAACTGGGATTTATACTATTACTTAATTGCCTAGGTTGCAGGAAATAGGTGTGTATGGGCGTTGGTAGAAGTTACCATGAATGCCCTTTCTATCTATGCTGCGAGAGAGCCCAGGATGGGTTGACTTCTTCCTATGACATCATAGCTGAGTCTGTACTAAGATATAAAAGCCAGCCTCCAGGAGAGACCCCAGCTTTGGCGAAGATACTTTACAGACTGAAAGGTGTCTCTGAAAGCCCAAAATAAATACAGAAATATGTCTTACCCTCTCCAGATGAATCAAGGGAGGGGCTGGGCTCTCTCACAGCATAGATAGAAAGAGCGTTCATGGTAACTTCTACCAACGCCAATTTTCCTCCATGCTGCATCAAGAGCCCAGGATGGGACAAACCAAAGCTTGCATGTCCACGGGTGGGTCCTCATCTGGCTCATCACACCGACTGTGGAACCACTCGTTGAAGCACCCATCTGCCAAAGGCTGCAGTCGCCAAGGCAAAAGCATCCAGACGGTAGTGTCTGATGAAAGGAGACGGGGATGTCCACGTGGCCGCACGACAAATCTCCTCCAAGGATGCTTGGGTCGCACAGGCAGCAGAAGTGGCCGTGCTTCTAGTAGAGTGCACCGTCAGACCTCGGGGAACCAGAAGGGCCACAGCTTTGTAGGCCTGCTCAATGCAAGAGCTGACCCACCTGCTAATAGTAGAAGAAGAGGCCTTGTACCCCAAGTGAGAAGGGAAAAAGGAAACAAACATGGCTTCCGACTTCCTGAAGGAGGAAGTGCGCTTAATGTATATTCTAAGAGCCCTTCTTATGTCTAGCGTGTGCCACTGCTGCTCTAAGTCATGGTGCAGGGGAGGACAGAAGTCAGGCAAAACAATGTCCTGGGACCTGTGAAACCAGGTGTTAGCCTTCGGAATAAATGAGGGGTCCAGACGAAGAACAACCCTATCATCATGAAAGGAACAAAGGTCCTGTCTGATGGAAAGAGCAGAAGTCATGGCAACAAGGAACACTACCTTCAGAGTCAGGAAACGGAGAGACACTGTTCTAAGGGGTTCAAAGGGGTGCTTTGTAAGGGCATTAAGGACCAAATGAAGGTCCCAGGAAGGATACCTGTGAACCACCGGAGGGTGCAGGTTGGAAGCCCCACTCCTGCCACAGATCCGGAGATCTCTCAACTGGTGGCATTCCCCATGTATCCGGAGGGGATTCCTGTTCAGGGACCCAGACAGGCTATCTGGAGGGGATTCCTGTTCAGGGACCCAACAGGCCTCTCTCATGAGGGCTTTGGACCTCGTCCCCCCTTGCCGGTTGACATGAGTCTTTGCGGCCATGTTGTCCGTAAGGACTAGAACATGAGAGCTGGTCACTGATTGCCTGAAATGCTTGAGAGCCAGAAAAATAGCTCTGAGTTCTAGCCAATTTATGGGAAGGGTCTGTTCTGATCTGGACCAAACGTCCTGAGCTATCTGGCCCTGCATATGGGAACCCCAACCCAGGAGGCTGGCATCGGTGGTTATCACTAGCCTGTCTGGGTCCCTGAAGAGGAATCCCCTCCAGATAGATGGGGAATGCCACCAATTGAGAGATCTTCGCATTTGTGGCGGGAGTGGGACCTTGATGGATGAGTGACTGGTTCCTGCTCGTTGGTAGGGAAGCAGGAACCATTGGAGGGCTTGGGAGTGGAGCCGAGCCCACGGGACGATGCCAATACAGGAAACCATCTTCCCCAGAAGTTTGGACAGCAGCGACAGGGGGACAATTTGATGTTGCTGGATCTGGCTGATGATCTCTGCAAGGCTCTTTCCACGAGCTGGGGACAGGAAAACCTGGCACGACATGGTATCGATGACTGCTCCCAAGTGTTGCAATTTGGTTGTAGGAGAGAGTGGCTCTTTTTGGTGTTGATGGAAAATCTGGAGACATGACAGGCTAATTTGCAGATCCCGATGGGCCGCAAGGATGGAAGACGAAAGAATCAAAATGTCGTCTAAGTAGCATTGGATCCTCACTGGAATAGAACGCAGAGATGTCACCAATGCTGCCAGAACCTTTGTGAAGACGCTTGGAGCCGATGAGAGGCCGAAGGGAAGTGCTCGATACTGGTAATGGGTATTCTGATAACAGAAACGGAGAAACTGGCGGTGATGAGGCCAAATTGGGATGTCGAGGTAAGCTTCAGTGAGATCAATGGAAGAGAGGAGGTCGCCCTCCCGAATGCTCTCTAAAATAGAATGCAGAGTCTGCATTTTAATTCGCCTGTATTTTACAAATTGGTTGAGAAATTTTAGATCAAGGATGGCTCGCCACCCCCCTGAGGCTTTGGGAACGATGAACAGGCTAGAGTAAAGCCCATGTCCCCGTTGAGATGGGGGAACAGGTTGAATAGCCCTGATTTCAAGAAGGTGCTGAATGGCCTGATTCATGGGGGCTTGCCTGGAAATGTCCCGAGACACAGGACAGATCAAAAAAAATTTGGGGGGTGGGGTTAGGAAGTCCAATTGTAACCCTGACCTAATAGTGCTGAGCACCCAGGCGTCCGTTGTTGACTCCTCCCATTTGGAGGCAAAGAAGGCTAGGCGACCTCCGATGGGTGGGGAGAACAAGGGATTACTTAGAATGATGGAACGAAAGACCCCCTCCCCCCCAAAAGGGACGTTTACCAGCAGAAGGTTGTTGCCTGCCAGATGTTTCCGCCTGTTGGTCTTGGCATTGGGAGTATGGCCTGTGAGAGCAGGGGAAGCGAGATGAGGTCTCCGCTCGGAAGGCAGGAGGGTGATAAGGAGCAGGTCGATAGTCGGCTTTCTTCCCAGAGGAAGAGAGAATTTTACGTTTATCTCTGGCTTCTATGAGATAAGATTCCAGAGCATCACCAAAAAGCTTATCGCCTGCAAAAGGAACTGAAGCCAGCTTCCATTTTCGGCGTGACTCCACCTGCCAGTTTCGGAGCCATAAAAGTCTTCTTGCTGCTACAGAAGATGCCATGGCCTTGGATGCAAATTTGGCGGAATTGAGAGTGGCATCCGCAGTGAATTCCGCCGCTGCAATAATCTTATTAAGGTCTTGGTGAGACCGAAGGTCAGAAGCAGGCAATCTATTCTGGAGTATTCTGCAGCCACCGTATGGATTCCCTGGTGAAGAAGGATGCTGTTGTTGAAGCCCGAACAGCCCAAGCAGCAGCCTGGTGATTGCACTTGAGGGTCTGTTCAGAACGTTTATCATCCGGTTTCAGGATATCTTCTGGCTCCGTGGGAGTGCGAGAACGAGAACGAGGCCAGAACCAGAATGTCAACAGAAGGCACTTCCAGGGCATTGTCCAGAGCTGTGCTGACATTGTAGAAACGCTTATCTAGAGAAGATGGGCGAGAACCTGCCGAAGGAGAAGCGCACTGTTCCTTGACCATGTCCAGGAACAAAATGGGAGAAGGCAAAACCTCTGCATGCACTACAGGCTTGGAGAAGAGCAAATCCTCTTGGCTAGAGGGATTTCCTTGTGGCTCGGGAGCCACTTCTTCTGGCGACAGCTTGGCAGTGACCAAGGCCTTGCTGAGTAATGGTCTGAAGAGAGTAGGTTTGAAGACCAATGCAGAGGATGTCTGCTCTGGGCGAGAAGCCTCTTCCTCTGAAAGATTTTGGTCAAAAATCTCACCCTCTTCACACTCTGAATGAGAAGAGTAACTGTTCAGATGGTGAAGGCCTTCCTTCCTCATCAACCTCCTCCCATTCTGGTAGAGAAGAATGAGGTCCTGAGGCCTGTGTAAATCAGGATGATGAGGCAAGGAACTTACAGATTGGGAAGGGAGAAGGGCCTGAACCCTTTTCAGAGGTTGAAGAATTTGCTTGAAGCCTTCAGCCAGTCCCTGCCTAATGGCTGATGAGACTACATCTTGGATATCCCTTGGTCTATGCTCAAAGGTAGAGGCAGAAGGCCGAAGGGCCGCCGCTGTAGGAGTGAAGGTGGCTTCAGGCCTAGATTGAGGAGAGGTTCGAGGCCTGGAGGGAGGGGGAGGAGCATAGGGCACAGAAGCCTGTTGGAAATAAGGCCCAGATCTGCTTAAATCCTGAGGATCTGACTGTACAGCAAGAGCCCCAGGAGACCAGGGCTCTGGAGGATGGAAGGGCTCATAGATAACTTCTCCTCCCCGGGAGGGCTTGGTTGGGGCCCACGAGTAACACCTGAAACATGCTGTAGTTGCACTCCCTTCTGTTGAATAGTTCTGTTGAACTGCCTCTCTAGAGCTGCATGTTTGCGCTTCTCTGCCCTCAATTCAGCCTGAGTTGCCTTCTTAGGGGCTAGAGCCTTAGCTTTGATTTTTGCAGCCACCTCCCTCTGGACTGATTGGGTGCATTGCCTACGTCTTTTTCTCCTATTGGGCTTAAGAGACTGTTCCACTGGGGGGGAAAGCTCTGCCAGAGCCTTATCTTGCTCCATTTGTAAAATAAAGGCTCTTGCATTGGAAAGAAGCTGTTTAGAAATTTTTCTATTAAGCCCCTTAGGGTATAAATGGCCCCTGGGCTTACAAAATGGCCGCTCACCTCGTGGTGGAAGGCTTGAATCCAAGATGGCCGCTGACTACAGGAAAACAGGCTCCAAGATTGAAGAATCGCTCCTTAGGCTATACAGAGCCCCGAGCGAAGTCAGTAAGGGAAAAACACAGCAACCAGCTACATGATCAGCTGGCTTGAGCTCTTATCAGTTTGCCGATCGTGTTTACCATCGGTCCAAACTGCAGGCGTGGGGGAGGTCTGCAGACACTGCCCAGCTTGCCTGCACAGAGCTCTGTGACGCTGCTCCCAATGTTGTAGGGCTCTCCTGAAAGAGCAGCTGCCCAGATCCCTGGGAGCTGCTTGAAGAGAGGAAACAAGTACTGAAGATCGCTGGTGATTGCTATCTAACAGAACACTTTCAGAGACACAGCAACTGACTGAAAGGAGCTGAGTCAAAAGCTGGGGTCTCTCCCGGGGGCTGGCTTTTATATCTTAGTACAGACTCAGCTATGACATCATAGGAAGGAGTCAACCCATCCTGGGCTCTCGATGCAGCATGGAGGAGAATGACTCTGAAGCATCAGCCCATGTTACTTTACCTCAAGAGAAACTAGAGCTTCTTTGGAACCACAGATTGTTATTCTTCAGGTGTGTTACTGGAAGGTACAGATAAGGAAATAAAAAAGGATCTAGCAAATTTAGTTCTGTTGGCCAAGCCCCAAATAAAAGAGATTTATGTAATACACATATGGTTTCAAATAGAATCTCTCTTCCTCCCTTCTCCTCCCCTGTATTGAAATGAGGATGGTGCAATAAAACATAGAATTCTAGTGCTAGCAACTTACATAAAATAACACGGCAAATGGTTCGGAAAAAATTGGTGGCCTGAGATAGTTTAAATTGACTTTGCCCATGTTTTGTCTAACACTTTTACTTCTCCATTGAACTTGATCTTATCTTTGTGGAATTAAAAAGCTTTTTTTTTTTTTTTGTAGATTCTATAACAATTTCCCAGCTATTTCTCCAAGTATTTCCTTTCCTCTGGTTACATGGCTCTTTTTAATATTATCCTTTTCGTAAGAATATTAGCTTATTTTCCTAAAAGGTTATTCTTTTATCCTTCTTTTATTGTCAACATCAATCAAAATAAGACTTGAGTCAACATTGTTGACCTATCAAGAAGATAAATTCTAATTTATTTTTCTGTTCATGTAATCACTCTTGCCTTCATTAACTTATGCAAAAAATATTTTTCCAGACATCCTAATGTGAGTCAGTATGATATAGTATTGATATAGATATGATATTTGGGTAGAGGTGCTCTGAAGTCTGTTTCAGTTCCTGCTTATGTATCAAACTTGCTGTGCTACACAGTCAAGGTCAAATCAGGAGTGTCTGCAGTGTAGTGTTGTGTATAAAGGTCTAATTTCCTTGGAGCCAGGAGGAACTTCGTGTTACTGCAGTATAATAGGAAGTGCTAATGCAGTTTCTAAATAAGCTGTTAGGAGCAGAGGATTCAGTACGTTAAATTTAACGAATATCAGATCACTTTCATTTATCATAGCTAAAATGGCTGTTATAAATATTCATATAAAGACAACCTCCTTTATATGAATGTTATAACTGCTTCTTTAGATAACAAGGACAAGATAAATTGTACCAATATCTTTCGATCTTGGAAATAATGTTCCTGCATTAAAATTTCCTAAGTCATATTTAATATTCAATGAAACTACTTATAATTCCATTACTGAGAGATGTAGAAGCCTACAAGTCTACTCAGACTTCTTCACTTTATAGTTTCTATAGTAATACGTTCTTACAAGGCTATGTGACTAAATTTGGAACTGATACAACCCAATTGTTTCTCTGTATAGAGCTTTCTAACTAATTTGATTGGCCAGATAATTTTTAAAAAATCTTACAACACTATATATGTATACTTTCGCTTATGTAGCATATGCAGATGATAAGACAATAAAACACTTCACCTATCTTTAAAGATTTAGGTCAGGTTCAGTCTGCAAGAGAGGCCAGGTAGATGCCTCTGGACAATATGTGATAGCCATTTACTGCTGCGTTTTGCATAGCATCTGATATTGAGAAAATTACTGCTTGCAAAGTATTATTTAAATCATTATTAATATCTGTTATGTTAGCCTTCCTGCCTTAATCTTCTTAATCCTAAAAATATATGATTTAATCTGTCAATCCAATTTCCTTTGATAATGTGTTCCATCATAGAAGAAAGTTAACCTAAATGTAATACGTTTATGCCAGCGTGACATTTTTAAAATGCTAGCAGGGTTAAAGCATACAACCTCACAGCATTTTACATACATATATGAGCTTTAAGGCAAATTGCTTTGGGTAGCCACATTAGACTTACTTTGGCATTTTGTTTCTTTTAGCCTTTCTGTTTGTGCAATGGCACTTTGTACCACACTCCAGACCCAGTCCACAACGAAAACCAAAGTCCTTTTTTGAGATTAGAGCAGATTAGATTATTCAAACTTGTTTTCATTTTTGTTAGGGGAGGACGAGGGTTATCGTCTTAATGAGGGTGTGCCTGGTATCCTAATTTTGTGAAATGAAGTATAGGTTTGCCAAGAAACAGATTCCATTCCCTTGTATTTATTTTATTTACATCCCGCCATTATTGTCTTTATAAATAACTTAGGATGGCACACATACTTCGTACCTGTCCCTACTCCTATTTTTTTCCACCACAACCCTGTGAGAGGTAGGGGTGTGTGTGTGTGTTTGGAGAGAGAGAGAGAGAGAGAGACCAGTCACTCAGCCAGTTTGTATGCCTAAGGCAGGATTAAAACTCACCTCTGATGTCTAACCTGGTGTCCTAACCACTAGACCAAACTGGCTATATAACACTAGAGTGCCGCCAAAATCTTCTGTGACAGCAAACAGAATATAGCTTTGGCTCTCCCATCCTACCATTCCCAAATTGCCAATTTTTCTATGGGTTCTTTGTCTTTTTCAAGTTTAGCAGTATTAAGATTTATGGACATTAATTCTGGGAGGTGAAGTCCACACGCCTTAAAAGCTACAAACATTTGAGAAGCACTAATTTTAGACTATAGTTTGGTATTGTATTAGCCTGTCAGCCAGGTGTTTCTTTTCTACAGCTCTCTCAGAAATTTTCCAAAAACTTTTTAGACTTGGGAGGCAGGCATACAGGTTGGTCTTGACTTATGACGGCAATTGAGACTGAAATTTCCATCGCCAAGCAATGCAGTCCTAAGATGTGACTACATCGCTTAGTGACAGCAATCCCTGCAGTCTCAGTGGCTGATTTTAACCGATTCCCCCATTTTAGCCAAGGTAACTTCTTGCCAGCTTCCCACACCCAAAATTAGTGGGGAACTCTGCAAGTTCCAAAGCAGCAGGCTGGTCAGGGGAGGGAGCGAGGTGGGGGAGGGAGCAAGGGGGTGTGCAAGAGAGGCTGCTCAGGGAAAGTGGATGTAAGGTGCAAGGGAGAGTGCATGAGTCAGGCAAGATACATGAGAATCACCACATGGATCAGGGTGTGGGCAAGAGCTGCTGTGTAGGTGAGGGAAGGTCAGGGATAAAGTCCGAGAGGAGCAGCACAGGGTTGGGAAGCTCTTTCTGAGGAAGCTGGCAAGAAAGGTTTCAAATGGTGATCAGTTGATGCTTGGCATCCAGGTCACCCAGCACCCATATGACCATGGAGGCTCTGGGATGGCAAAACACTTGAGGGCTGGTTATAGCCACCATTTGTTCAATGCTTAACTTCAAATGGTCTCTGAAGAAATGTAGTAGATCAAGGACTACTGTACATACAAGAAATATGTTTTAACAAACTTCTGTTCTTTGGACCAACTGCAAGCTTTTCTAAAAAGAAATACAGCTTGTAAATAGAATATTTAGAACGTAATCTATAATAATTTGTTCTAAGCCACATTTTAATGTGTGGGATCTTAAACTACTTAATTTTGAATAAGTTGTATGATGACTAAGTATATTGGGATATTTTTAGCACTTTCCAGCCTGATGAATAATGCTATGTACTGTGCAAAGTTTGTTTTGTTTGTAAAGAGTAATTTTAAAATCTAAGCTCAGCTGAAAATGTCAAGAATATTACTTTCTGAGAGCCAATTAAATTGCCAGTATACAGTAATTAGTAATATATCTTGTGCTAACTGTAAATTCTGTACTTATATAGACATTTGACAGGTCCTTTTGTGTGGTGATGGTGATGCTTTCAATAGTTCATCCAGAATAACATAATTATGTATCAAAGACCTAACGGAGCTTCTGAAACTGACTTGCAGTCCTTTCTTTCCACAGGATTCAGTGGTTTCTGAGAGGGATTACGAAAGCCTTGTGATGATGCGCATGCGGCAAGCTTCTGAGAGGCAGAAGCTAATTGAAAAGATGAAACAGGAAGACGAAGAAGAGTCTTGTACATAGTAGAAGGGGAAATGGCATTATCATGCATTTTTGCTTATAATTCTTAAATCAATAAAAACTATTGAAGGAAAAACTTCAAAACTACAGTAGATTTCTTGGAAGAATAACTGATGACCCCAATTAAGGGGATATATAAAGTGAAAATCTATTTCAAGTATTTCCGTGTATGACTTAAATTACTCTGACATGTGGAATGTATACAGCAGTGGCAAATCTGCCTTTTGGAAAACCATATCCTTTCTTGTTGATCACGTTTCCCGATTCATTGAACCATTATGAGCTCTACAGCATATTTCCTAGGATAGAAAATGTTTTCTACTGATCGCAACTCATGGCAAATCTGACTTTAAAGGATCACCGTGCTCTTCTCTCTAACATATTCTTTATAAATCCACATATTTGTTAGATGTAACATACCCTTTTATTTGAAAGAGGTCTATAGTTACCTTATTTTTATCTTTCTAATAAATCTGTGAAATTCATTTGGTTGAAAGCCGGTTACAAGCTCAATTTCATGGCTATATTGTGATCTCACCCATTTTCTCAATTCTTATCTAGGACTCTAAATATCACTGGTGGTCATTCATAGCCACCTACATCACAAGGAAACTGAACCACCTATCCCAGTATTGACAGTGCAATCTAAACCAAAATAAATTGTTCCAAAGATGATTAATTATTTGGCACTTCCAGTTCAGCAACAAAACAAGGTGAAACTAACACAGCTCCTTGAATGAGGGAGAATTGCTGCAGTAGATCAGTGTATTATTAGTCCCATTACCTGCCAGTATACAAGTGTCCCCTTTGGGATACTCATCATTTCAGACTTTTGTTCAAGATTGTCAATTGGTATGTTACAGGTTTTTGTGGCATTTTAAAACTGCCTGATAACAAACAATTTGAGATACGTTAAATTGATTTTACTATTTTTTTTACTATTTTATGAGCTACTTACGAATGGTTTTCAGCAGACAGAGTGTAAATCATCCTAACGATGAAAAGGCAAATTGGTACAATTAAAAACTATACGGAACTATTTAAATATTTTCTGTACTATTTTAAGACATACCATCTAGAGATAATAGAAAAACCACATATCACAATCTCGAGATTCGAGTCACACTCTTGAATGGGGACACTAATATACTTTAAGCACATCATGTAATTTATAGAGGTAAATTTGTATGGTAACAATGTCCCTATCAATATTGACAGCCGTTTTGTGCATGAGCATTCTTCTCTGGTATGTCACACCTAATCTAACCTGAGACTGTTACTGATTTAATGGATTTAATGCCAAGTTGTCATCGTTAATAAAGTGGAGATAAGAAGTTAATACTGCCAGTTTCAGATTGGCATCTGAAATAATGGCATCTCTTTAGGAAAGTTCCAGGCAAAGAGCTGTGAAGCTTCTTAGAATGATGCTTTTCGTAATGATGTAGTGGTGCTTATGATTTTAAAGCCAGGTTTTGATCAAGTCACTTTACAATGCCTGAAGATGAGCAATGCCATTTCAAGCTTATGCTGGGTGGTTTACAGCAGTGTTCTGGGAAGGAAGAAAAGCACAATTCTCTGTCATTTCTTTGTGAAGACACCACACCAGTGTCTGCCCCACTCCTGTCATGCTGATCACTCGATAACCATACTTCTCCAGCTTGTCCAAGACGATCCGTGGAGCATCATTCACATAATATTCCCAGCTGTTGTAAAGACATAAAAAAATGGAAAGATTTTTTTAAAAAACAATTTTAAATAATTTGTGTCCATATTGATGAGAACATAAATTGAATGTTGCAGTTCTAAGAACAAAGTTGTAAAACTAGAAAGTAAACTGAAAGGAAGCTAAACAGAAATTTAATACCATGATCAAAGTTTAAGGTTAATCTTCTGGGTCTTTGCTGCCTTACATTTCTGAAAGCTTGGGGGAATACAAGATCTACACTCAAGTTTTGAAAAGTAGCAATGTAGCCCAGCAACAGCTTTATTCACAAACCCTTACGAAGATTCCTGGAGAATTAAAAGTTTTTCCCAGTTTTATACACTTGGTACCAATAAACAAATTAGTCATCAACAGATTATATTATTATTTATTACAGTTCAAATGTTATGGCATTGTTACAAATACAGCTCTACCGCGATCTGCTTTTATACTTTACAGGGCTCTATTGGATTTGTACTTCTATTTGAACTGACCCTTCTGGCTAGTATTTTTAAAATGCAGAGTTTGCAGCCACAATGTTAGGTTCCCCTGAGACTCTGTTCATTTTTCCTCCTCTTCTGGTTATTTATGTGAAAAAGGAGGTAGTCACCCCTGCAAAGCAAGAAGGGAAAGGAGAACAAGTAGCAGAAAATTAGGAAAGGGCGGGAATGACAAAAAGCATTGTATCTGTATCTTTGCCTCTTCTATAATTTTTATATAAAGTTTTTATAATTTTAATATTTTATTTTCCCATTGCCCAGAGTCCCTCTGTGTGGGAGATAGGCAGTTTCTAAATTAGATAAATAAATTAAAAAAAGTAATATTAAAATAGAACCTATTTTGCCCCAGTAGCAGGAAAAATCCCATGGGCCTACTTAAACTGCTATCCAGGGATATATTCATGGCACTTTGCCCTTCCCGACTGGCCTGCATAACCCTTCAAAGAGCAGATACCCTCAAAGAGATACTCATCTGACAATCTTCCAAATAGAGTCATCTTCAAAGTAAGACCTATCACCATTTGCACATCAACTTCACACTTAAGCTTTTAAGCTTGCTTGCATGTAAAAGCTCTGAAATCACTAACAATGGAAAGTCAAAGGATGCAAACATCAACATGATGAAAAGCTTAGAATGACTTATACAATTGCATGCTTTGCCACATGTTAAATAAATTAAAAATTACATAAGTAAATCGGCCTGTGATTTCTTCACCACATTTTATTTATGATGTCTTAAGCCAAAACAACTGTATTGTAACTTTAAAAGATGCATATCTATATTCACATTTATTTATGGTGTCTGAAAGGATAACATTTTGCATTTCAAACTCTAAAGTTGCATAAACATAGAGAAAACAGATGGCATACAATTGGCGGGAGGCCAACATATTAGGCTGGAAGACAGGCCCAATTTGGGGTAATGATGGGGGTTGAAGCAAGAAAAGAACTGAAGGAAAATTGCTTGGTCACTGCACCTGGATGAAATTTTCTGTGATATATCATTAGAGTAAATAGGATTCCAGTATTAGGGCTTTAATTTAAATGATGAATGAAAAGCTCAAGAAATGTTTTAGATGCATCAGAATTATCCATCCCTCCTGAAGAATGCACACAATTTTCCAGAGCAAAGGAATAAAGATGACAGAAAAGTGATGACTAAGAATATATAGTTTGTTAATAAAAGGTTTCCACCCAACTGGGCACCAGATTTGGGAACGCTCTCGTGTTGTCAAAATTACTCATTGACAAACAGTGATGTAAGTAAGAAGCAAAAAGAGGAATACTTACAAATGATTTCCCAACATGTTTCTTTTAATGGCCCCTAGATAGTTCATCAAGTTTACATCTGAATGTTCATCACCAACCATTGTAGGTCCAACTTCCTGCAGAGAGAAATGGCCACTTCTGTATTGAAAACAATATTAGCACCATCCCATTATTTCATTATACCTCTTATCCATTTGCAAAACTTGAACGCCAGATGATAATGATACTTGGCAGAAACCACAGTTCAAGATACTTTATGAAAACCTTTAATACTATACTTTTGTCCTCACGTTGAGATGGGTATATTACCACTCAGCTTTGCATACTTGCCTATATTAGTATATCCAAATTTACTACAATGCATTTTTTTCTTTTTATTGTGTTGTTGTAAGACATATTAATATTATATATTATATTATATAAGACTTATATATTAGGGACGCGGTGGCTCAGTGGCTAAGATGCTGAGGTTGTTGATCGGAAAGGTTGGCAGTTTGGTGGTTCAAATCCCTAGTGCCACATAACAGAGTGAGCTCCCGTTACTTGTCCCAGATTCTGCCAACCTAGCATTTTGAAAGCATGTAAAAATGCAAGTAGAAAAATAAGGACCACTTTGGTGGGAAGGTAATAGTGTTCCGTGCGCCTTCAGCATTTAGTCATGCCGGCCACATGACCACAGAGATGTCTTCAGACAGCGCTAGCTCTTCGGCTTTATAATGGAGGAGCAACGCCCCCTAGAGCTGGAAACGACTAGCATGTGTGTGCAGTGGATCCATTACCTTTTAAGTTTAAGACATATTATTCCATTGTATTATTTCAATATAGTGATGTTTATATAAAATAAAATTTTATTTATTTACATGTGGCAATGTTAAACTATAGCGTTAATACAAAATAATTGTTTGCCTGCTGACAAGTGCTAGTCTGGTTCAGTTCATATTTGTATGCTATCTAGAGTGAACCACAGGGGTGGACTAGTTCCACACTCGGAAAGGTTCAACAGCATTCTGCAGTGACATCTGGTGTTTCTCCCTCCATTGATGTCACCTTGCATTGGGGACTTGCATTGGGGAAGGTCCGGTACTGGCTGGATTCATACAACTGCATGAAACACCATTATTTGATCAAGATTGATTTAGTGTTCCATCCTTCCATCCTTCCCTCTGAGGTCGGTAAAATGAGGACGCAGATTATTGGGGGCAATATACTGACTCTGTAAACTGTTTAGAGAGGGCTGTAAAGCACTGTATTTACTTATTGAATTTATATTGCACATGGCTACTCAAGGCAGCTTACAGAATATAAAACCTCATTTAAAACAATAAAACTAATAAAAAATAATCAAATAAATTAATATAATAAAATCAGCCCCACCCCGGCGACAGCAGATCGCATGAGCCATTTAATAGGCTCCATCCAGCTCTGGGTTCCCCAGGCCCGCTGGCATAACCAGGTCTTCAGTGTCTTCTGGAAGAGTGTTAGAGTGGGGGGCATTCTAATCACTGGAAGAATGATGTTCCAGAAAGAGGAAGCCACCACGGAGAAGGCCCTTCTTCAGGGTCCCACCAGGTGTATCTCCCTAAGGGATGGGACTAGCAGCATTCCCTGTAAAATGATATATAAGTCTAAGTGCTATTACTATTTTCCCATCAAAGTGGTACCTATTTATCTACACGCATTAGCATGCTTTGAATTGTTAGATTGGCAGAAGCTGAAGCCAGTGAGGGAAGCTCACTGCACTACGCAGTGCTAGGACTTGAATCATTGGAGGAAAGACCATCTCCAGATCTTTACAACACTGAGCCATTGTGCCTCTATATAAAATAATTAAAAATTACTGACATTCTATTACTTAGATGAAGTATTGAAAGTAGAGAAGAAACAAAATATTCTATCAAAATTAGGTACACTTTATGATGTCAACATCACAAGCATTAAAATTTAGCTTTTTCATTCAAAGTTCATATAACATTGAAAAAGCAAACCAATGCAACTCAAATCAACATAAAAACCATACCCATAAAAACCAACATGTTTGCCGTCAAATTTTCATGATACAATTTTAGGTCATTTTCCCACAGAACCAAAAGGTACTAAATGGTACTAAACAAACGGTAGTTATGACCAGTCTTTGAGGTTATGGCTCTTGCAGTACCCTTGTAGTCACATGATCCAAATTCAGGCACTTGACAGCCCACCTTTTTAAAAGAGTTATTTTTATTTCTGAAAGAGAAGACTTCACTTTTAGGACACAAGGAATGATTTTTCCTTTACATAAAATCAAAGTAAAATCATTGGCAAAAGGTTAGCAACAATACGGTAGTCACTTTTACCTATTTAGAGCTATGTGTCATATAATATATGTGGGTATATGCATAATTTTTATTTATTTATATTTTTGTCATGTTTATGTAGTGTATATTGGTGGTGGTGACCCTTCGAGACCTGTATGAAATGAAATTTCATTTTAATGTATGCTGATTAATGTACATTTCAAGTGACAAAGTTATTCTAAGTCTAGCTATTTGTGTGCAAGACTCTACACAGATACATATAATTACACATTGTTATTGCTCCCCCTACAGGCTGAACATGAGACAGCATGGAATGTTTTCCATTAATCTTTTTGAACTAATTTGGTGTTTTTTTTCTGGCTTTTGTTCTTTTCTAAACATACATTTCAAACCAATGTTCAAGATAGGCTGGCACAGATCCCTCTATAGCAAGGGAAGGACTTTTTGCAATTGGGAGCACCATCTTCTTTGAAAAAAAATATTTTCAGTAGCTGAGAGTGGCAGTGGATGTAAATATAATAGTTCAACATTCAGCCTATTGCCAGAAAAAAGGAGATAGTGTCAGATGGAGATGAAGAGGAAACTTAATGCATCTATTTCACTTGCTCCCTTCACTGGTTGCTAGCTTGCTGAAAATCCACAGAAATTCAGTTTTTGTGCATACTTTTGAAAAGCAATAAAGGGTTCCTGAAGGGAACGTGATTTATGCCTATGGATGCTTAGGGAATTGTGGGAACTGAAGTCCACACATCTTAAATTTTCCAAATTTGAAAAGTAATTACCTATATCATGTATCCACTGGAGAAAAAGGGCTTTTGTTTAGCTTAGCAATTTTCCCCTAAGAATGGGACAATGAGTCTCCACAGCCTCTGTATCCCTTTCCACAAAATAACATCTAAAGTTAAAATTTCTGGACTTGCAGCTTTTTCTATGTATTGATCAGATAATCTATATAAGCATGGCTAGTCACATCCAAAATGTACGTAAAAGTAAATTCCACTATGATCAGATTCTTGGTTCCCAAAAAATGGATAGGTTCACACAGCAATGGCAAATCTAACAAATGTATTGTCACATAATTGTGTCATAATCCAGTCAGATCCATGATTTCATGGTCTGTGAGCCACAAAAACATACCCCAAAACACATAAGCACTGCGTAAAATGCCCAGCGACTTTTGATCATTTTTCTTGCAAGAGATCAAGCAAATTAGAAGTTGCAAACTCTGACACTTTCTAGAGCAATCTTTCCCAAACTCATTCCCACCAGAGGTGTTGGAAATATATTTCAAAAATCCCAGCCAACTCCATTTCTGGAAGTTGTAGTCTATACATATCTAGAAGGCATCACATTGGAAAAGGCATTGCTCTAGAAGCAGTTGCAGGTGGATCCTGCCAACATAGAAGGAGCAGCATCAGGAATCTATTGCTTATGAGTGGCATTCATATATCTCTGCACAACCAAGCAAATGGCAACTGAGAAAACAAAACAATATCCAGCTGTAGAATTGCATGCAGACTATACAAAGTGTCTTCAGATATTTCATCATCCCCAAAATCTCTAGTACTAAACGAGGCATGAAGGGGGTTAGACCAACATGTATCAAAACATATCTGCATTCATGTGATCAAGGAAAGAAGCGGGTGCCCATATATTTCAGCCAGGTGAATATTTCCAGAAATCAATGAATTCTTTCATTCTTTTGCCCAAATAAACATATCAGCTTCCACCCCGTCTGGATATCTTTTCCTACACACACATACACTGGGTTTCTCGATAGGGAGGGAGGCGGGGGGAGCCAATCAGCAAAAGTTCAACATTCCAAAAATAACTGCAAGCTTGATCTCTTGCGCTCTTTTTTCTCCCCGCACTTGGCAGCCCCAGCCTCGAATTGCTCACCATGCGGATCTGAGTGCTGATGAGAACGTACGGCATGGTCCTTTCAGCGCCCAACAGGATGTTGAAGGTGCCCGCTGCAGCTCCAGAAGATTGTTTTGCCAGTCCAGTCCCACACGTGACATCCTGCCTAACCAGGTTAACGCCCTCCTCCGGCACCGCCAATCGAAGAGCGAGCTACCTAAGGGCGGGGCCGGCATGGGACTGTTGGCCGTAAGGTAAGCTTTTCGGCTGGGCGCAGGTGAGGCTGCTTTAGTTTGTGGGAATGCTGAACTGCGGCCAGAAAAGACTGCGCCAAGATGTACAGTAACCAACCGTCTCTTTTTCCACTGTTTGTAGAGCTGACTTACCAGAACAAGGAACGCTTCGACAGGGGATCAGCAAATAAATATTTATTATCTGCATTTCTGCATGTTATTCATCTTTCTGTGAACATCCACAGAATGTTTGTAAAGGGATGGGTGGATATTACTTGCATTTATATTATTTTATAGCACCTTTTTATAGCACCCTATCAAATTTGTTTACCATCATTATGCACTTCAGTACCTAACAGATTATGTTCCTGAATGCTTACTGCATCTATTTCCAAGTGATTGTAATTAAAAGGATTTATGCATCTCATTTTACAATCCTAATTATGATATGAGTAATACCTGATTCTGAGAAACGTGGCAGATACATACCAAATTTGGGGGCTGGGGAAAAATTCAGTGGTATAAAAGCAGATAGAGGCATCTTGTAGGATAGCAATAGCACTTACAATAGCAATAGCTTCATAGTGTTTTTACAGCCCTCTCTAAGTGGTTTACGAAGTCAGTGTATTTCTCCCAACAATCTGGTCCTCATTTTATCCACCTTGGAAGGATGGAAGGCAGAGTCAAGCTTGATCCTACATTTTAGTTAAATTAATAAAAACGGGATCATGCTGTTTCACTGTAAGCTTCACTCTCTTCATGCTGGTCCATTCAATATTCTGGTCCATGCAACATCATGATGCATGGACCAGAGTGGAACTTGTAGCTTTGCTTTCATCATTTGTTTCCATTTCTCTCATATCTTTACAAACACTTCTATGCCCCTACCCAGGTGGTAGCACTTAGTTGGTGTTGGCTGACCTCTAAAAACTAAGAAGGAGAATACCTGGTTATATTTGGATGGGAGATCAGCACAAATAATAAGCCCTGTAAATTAGATTGAAGTAGAAAAAAAATCCCAGAAGAAAATTATAAAGGTCTTCTGTACTATTGCAAAGAAATGTGCCTGTGATAAGAACTAAAGTCAAATGAGTCTTAGAGATTATGTTGTGGACATACAATGTAAGGAACCAAGTCTGAAAGAAAGGATTAGAAGCTAGGAGACTGTGAGTTCTAATCCTCTCTTATATATAAAAGCCAGCAGGGTAACTTTGAGCCAGTTACAATCTCAGCCATGGAGTTGTTGCGGGGAAAATAAAACATGGGAGTATAAAGTATGTATGCTATCTTGAGATGACAAATAATACAAGCAAAATATATCAAATAAAAAAGAAATCTATAATGCTGGAAAAGGTGGAATGAAATAAAAGGGGATAATGAACAGCAAACTGGATGAGCTTGATTACAGAAGCAATGAATGACAAATAAGAGACCTAAAAGGCCAGGATGAAGATAGGTCATCCTGTTTACACCTTGACAGCACTTAATCAAAGATCAAACAATGTTTTTTTTCCCCAGATGGAGGTGAATTGCAATATTAAATACTCTGAGCCTTCTATTGATTCAGAGAGCCAATTTGATATAATGGTTAAGGCATCAGGCTAGAAACCTGGAGACTGAGTTCTAGTTACCATCTGGGTGACTTTCTCTCAGTTCTAGGAAAGGCCGTAGCAAATCACTTCCAAAATCTTGCCAAGAAAACTGCAGGAACTAGTTCAGGTAGTTGCCAGGAGTCCTCAAAAACACACCCTTCCCATTAATGAATGAAGACTGTCAGTGGGTGCTTAGTGTCATCTTTTGATTTGGCTTCTTCCTGATATTGTCATTATTTTTTGTTGTAGAAGCTAACTTTGTTTAATGTCATTGCAGAAGGACAGTGTTACATCGGTTTAGAGGAAATAATTTTGGACATTGTTAGTTTAGAGGAAATAATTTTGCAGTGTTACATCAGTTTAGAGGAAATAATCCTTAACTGAGTCTGCCTTCTTGTTCATGATACCCTGGCTTTGTGATGGCGTATGATAAGAGACTACAATGGATAGGGTTAGCGGCTTCCTGAAAAGTCTCAACATGGCTGTTTTTGTTTTTATTTCATTTTTTTATAGTGGGTAAAACAATACAGTTAGCTGAAGAAAGAGGAATAAATCATCTGATGCTTTTAAGAAAAACACTGGCCTAAGAAACCCATCCTGATATTTGTGTAAAAGTCCACAGAAGTTTGCAAAGGAATTTATGGTGATTGCTATGAGGTCACAATGAGGTCACAATGATTTATCTACCACAGAGGTGCATCATGTGCTGGCTATGACCACCTCTGGTTTAGCGAAGATGAAAAAAGTCACAATACGCCACGTGAAAAAGTGATGCCGTGGGTTTTACCCTGATCTTCCAGAAAAGAAAATTAAAATAGCAATAAAGCTCTTACTTACTTGGAAAAAAATGCTACAAAAAGCAGATAATCTAAGAACAATTTTTTTTTCATATTTTTATGTTTATTTGCATTTCAAATACTTTTAAATTAAAATTCAATATGTAAATACTCAAATGTGTTTTGTTTTCAGAGGCTTCTCATAATATGAGGCTCTAAGCTGTAGCTTGCTTACTTACCTTTCTCTAAATCTAGCGCTGCAGGCAAGTAAGCAAATGCTAAGTCTAGTATTATGAGAAAGTCTGGAAACTAAGTCTTTGGACAAAGAAGGGTGTGGTTTCCAAATCTAACAATGCTTAGAGCAGATTTAAAGTTGTCTATAGTTGCTTTCAAGTTGCTTGCAGAGAACTTTTTAAACAGTAAAAATATCTTAGTTTGGAAGCATGGGCATTTGTCTGCAAGAATATAGGAAACATTTTCAGCTTGTTCTCCAGGACCTATTCACTAATAAAGTAGTAAACATGCTCATTCCAGTAACATCCTGTAAGATTTAAATACTAGAATTCTGCTGTACCTCAGAAATAATTTGAAAAAGATGCTTCAGGATATGCAGAGATGCAAATGTACTACCTCTACATGTGTCTTTAAAGCAATTGCATCTTTTCTTAGTAATGCATGTTGGTCTTTGTAGCTGTCATATGAAAATAGCTTCTGTTTGGCAATATAAGATATTGGAGTTCTTAAAAAATTGGGGGCAAATAGCTAACCAATCTATCCATGCATATATAATCCCATTCATTTCTCCAAAAGTCCTGCATGAATAAAGTTACAAAGTTAGGATGGAAAATAAGCATTTGCAACCCAAAAACTAAAGTTCAAAAATTCCAGTAATGCTAGATGTCAATCCTGAGATGCACCTTATTGTGGCTAATTAAAATATTGCAATGTCCTCTTTGACCAGTTCAATGGATATGGAACATCATGTTACTTAATAAGCACACAAACCAATTAAGTACTTACATATAAACCAAACAATGAAAACTTAACCATTAGTACCTCTCCAAGTGGCCTTCTTGGTCTTTACAAATTACCTGTTGGAGAGGAAGGGGCACACATATGTGCAGGCATAGCTGACCAGGAACTTGCAATTACAAAAAGCTAAATAGAGGGCAAGGGAACCTGTGCACACACCTTGCCTGACAAGTCACTTGCAAAGAAGTGCATACTAGGTAACATCAGCAATGCTATTGAATGTAGAGTTTGATTCTGGTTTATTTATAGTAGTTTGCATTGCCAGCATTGGTTGGGAGTGTGGTTTGCTCTGTAGTAGTTCCTTGATTGGAATATTTTTTCCTGTTTAATTATTTGCTTCATATTAATCCCTCTTTATCTGGGCATTGGCTGCTGAAGGGGATGTGCTGAAGAGGATGTGCTCTGGTCTTTTTTTATTAACAAATGCTAGTGTTACTTCGTAATAAAACATTTGCAAGCAAACAATCAAGCTCAGAGAGCACCAAGGGCACCACAATTCAACCCTGAGCCACATACAGTCTCTTCTATTGAAAGAATTTTCAAGCAGTTATTTGGTACTTGCATAAGGGCAACTGCAAACGAAATGTTACAGATGAAGAATTGCTGTTGTTATGTCTGTGGAGATTCTCAGTCATCCAGGTCATGGCAGCTGAAGAAGCTCCTTGGATGAGAAGCGAAAACATCTTCAAAGAAAAACCAGAAAGTCCAGTTGCCTCTTGAAAAAAGCACTTTTGGGACTGCTGTTACTATATGTAGCATCACAACGGGTAACAGATCTGGGAGGCAAAGATTTGCTGAATTGCAAGCTGGAAGCGAGGATAGTGTCTCACCCCACCAGTCCTGTCACACTAATGTTCAGAGGTGTATCAGTTCTCAATTATAAAGACATTGTGACAAGAATAATTTAACCTCTTAACTAATCTTAACTAATTGTATCCCATGTAATTGCAGAATTATTTTTTTTGCTTTGGTAACATTTGCATATGAAACAAATAACAAAGAAAAGGACGAAACATGCTCTAGGGCCTAGGCCAAGGACCTTTGCTGGCTGAGGAATTCTGGGAGTTGAAGTCCACAAGTCTTAAAGTTGCCAAGGTTGGAGACCCCTGCTCTAGACACAGCTTTGAAAATGGCATAATGAGATACTTGCTGGAAATTAGAGATAGGTAAACATGGAGATGGTATTTAGCAGGTTCTGACCAGTTCTGGAGGACCGGTAGCAGAAATTTTGAGTAGTTCGGAAAACCAGCAAATATCACCTCTGACTGGAGATTTTACAGTATCCTTCCCCTGCCACACCCACCAAGCCACGCCCATAGAACCAGTAGTAAAAAAAAATTGAATCCCACCACTGGGTAAACAGCTTTACCATGCCCAATTGCAGTACCACTCTTAGTTCCAAATTAAGCCAGACACAGGAACTATCTTGTTTATTTTATAGAAACATAGCCATTTGTGGATCTGACTGAAGCAAGGAAAGTATTATTTAAAACTTGTGCACAGTCCATACTTTTAAGGTACATAACCCATTATCCAA